TTGTTTTTTTTCTTTGTTTTTGTATTTTTTCCAACCCTGCAACACCTTTTATTGTCACCTTTTTTCAATTGAATGCAATATTACACAGTTTTTCGGTGGCACTTCGCTGCTCTGCTTTTGATTTTCTACTTTTTCTTTTGTTGTTTTAACTTTTCATTCACACTGCGAGCAGAGCAGTAGCGAGTTGATATTTTTTTCACGTGATCTTTTCAATTCGTCAGGCTAAATGAAATGAACAAAACGTAGAAAGGAAAAAATAAATCTGAGCAGAAAATTCCTTAATTGAAATTTGATGCCATTAAGTTGCATCACCCGAGCACCCGAGCGCCCGAGCGACCAGTCAACCAAACAACCAACCAACCAATGATGAGGCACACGGTTGCATTTTTTTTTAATTTAATTTTTTTTTTTTGTGAGACTGAAGTGGTGTTGAGAACCACGTGAATGACGTTTCTTGCATGTTGTTGTTTGTGTCTCATGTTGCAAATGTCAGCAATTGCCGTTTTGGCATGCCAATGTAGCGTCACGGCGATTTAATGTGTTGATAGACGAAATAGAAGAGCAATGTTGGAATATTTATGCTGTAGAATATTATTGTCATGTATGTATATATGTACATATATATGTGTATGTATGCATTTATTTAAGAAATTGAAGTAATTTTAAATACCTAAAAGGCGACATTGCGAATTCTTAATGAAAATAACTACTCACACAAGATATAATACGAAATGTAATAGTGAAGTTCGGCCATGAAAAGTTGCAATCACAAGAGCCAGAAAAGTGGTTATCCATACGACCTACACTCTGGGATCGCTCGTCAACAACTCAATATGAAGAAACTAGGAGACCTCAGAAAGACGTGTGGTTTTCTGCCGTGGTAGTGTGAAAAAGACGCTCTAGCTCTCATTGACGCGTTCACCGAAATTGCCGACTATCAGAGGACATCAAGTCCACACATTATCGTAGCAAGTAGCAAGGAGAAGATCTAGTCTTCTTAAATACTTCTTTGCCGGGTTTGCAATGAGATATCTCCTACTCTACTCAGATATGCAAGCGGTGCAAGTTAGTATTCCAGCATTTCAAATTATTCTAAAGAATCGAAACTGTTAGATCTTAGAGATGATTTGCCGTTCGGCAACACCAAAAACAGACCAAAATTATGAGCAATTGCCACAGCTGGCTCACTATAGTAAACAAGGGTGTGAAAATTCATCAGATGCACTCCACAAATTGGGGGAAGAGCTCAGCCGAAAATCGCTTAAGCGGTGGTTTTAAAGCGATACTTCTTGCCCTGTGGGATATATTAAAACGGGAAAGATAGACAACTGGGCATTGGACATCTAAATTCTAGGGAACTACCCGCAGTTCGCTTGCCATCGCGAAAGTTAGTTCCCGTCTGATAAACTTAATGATTATCAAGGCGTACTCGTTGTCGCCAGCCCGATTACCAAGATCCGATATCAGGAAATCTATTCAATAGCTGATAAACCATCAAAAGCAGTGACTTAAATTGGAATTTAAACCCTGCAATCTCCGATCCGACGCAACCAAAAACTCTGATCAAAGTTTCAAATAAAAAAACCAAAGTGCCGACAGCAGAGAAACTAATTCTCTTTGTTTATTCCATTTCTCCTCAAGATAAGTGGTGATCTCTACTAAAACCAATACTTGCGCGTGATCTGCCCTGGTAGCACTGAACTTATCGAAAACCTTTGACACAATTAACCTTGTAGTGCTACTAAAAAACATTAGGCACTCATCAACATTAACGCCAGGATTATAGAAAAGGACTATAAAGCATCTATGGAAGTGGTCGAAAATCACCGGAAGAAATTCGAGGTCAAAGATCGCAAGTTAGTATCCCATGCCGATATCATTCTCTACCTGAGCGCGCCTCTCTTCCATCTCAGAGTCTTGAGAGGATAATTGTGGACTATGTATGAAGGTGAACGGCTTTCCGACCTTTTCCAACATGCGCAATTTTAGAAATAATTGTTTAAGACTAGGCCTGAATGTTGAATATTACAGAGTTGTAACAAAATCCTATAGCAACCAGAGTGGGAAAATTACGAAGAAATGTTGCTGGTAAAAAACAATATAATCCGTCAGTCGAACTTCTCTTACACTACATCTATCTATCACTGGAAGTCATTGGATTGTGTTGTGTAAGTAATATTCTCGAAGGTAGCTCCCCAGAAGATATTATTTTTTTACTTAAGCTAAACATTCAACCACCCAGACACATCAGGAAAAGACTAATAGACTATATCGACTCTATACACCACGGTAGGCAGGAACCGTGGGACAGGTCGGCATAATGACAGGCTTTAAACGTTAACCGTGAGCCCTTCAAGACGTTCATGAACACTCTTCCTGTGAATGACATTCTCGGAATCCTACCGCCACCTATTGCCAGCCAAGAGCTCGAGCTTCAGCGGTTACAAAGCGCTAATTATTTATATATATATATAAGATTTGGATATTTTAGTAGACTTAATTCCTACTTAGCCAGACTTGACCGCGAAATACCAAACGAATGTCCTTCCACAACACTAACCAACTCTTTGCATGCCCTCAAAAAACTAACTTACCTAACTCCCCTCTTTCTCTCTAGTTCGAACCCGTTGAAACAGGCCACTTTCTGAACCACCCATGATGACCATGATGCCATGACGCCTGCTCCTAAGCGAGGTAAACGTACAGCAACAGAAAGAAGACGTTCAGTATTAGTTAACGCTGATAAAGAAGCTGCTAGAGCCTTCCGAACACCGTCCTGAGGGCAGTGGGGAAACATTCTAATATCGACTTCCCTTAAGGTGTTTAATGATTTGTTTTGCTGGCTGTATCTGCCGGTTATGTCACCTTAACAAATGTACATATGTATATACTCATATACTTATATACATATGTACACACATACATATATGATTATTACTCTATGAAGTGAAAATTCTTTTGTTTAACCACTTTCCATGTTCATCAACTTGACGGCAGGTACACACATATGTATATATGTATGTAAATGGAAACGTCAAACAAGACCGAAGAATTTGACACGCGAATCTTTGCACAATTACATTCGATTTCATTGGAATTCTTGCGAAGAGCTTACGAAAATTGCAATTTATTGCCACCAATGAGTGTCTTCTACGCTTTGGCCACTGTTGCTGACTGTATGCACATACATACATACATATGTACATATATTGAAATTGTTCTAATTTATTTTAATTTATCAACTTTTAATTGTCACCAAAATGTTAAGCGTCAAATTCCTTGCCGTGCAATTGTTGTTGTTGCCGTTGTGCTGCAATTTTGGTGTAATTGGAGGTAAAAATGGAGGTTGTTTCTAATGCAAAATTTATGTGCACACACACATACATATGTACATATGCTGAAGGTGAAATTGTAATATGGTATGGATGACTAATTTCACTCAAGTTGCAATATACATACACGTATGTAAATATATTTCCAAATAACGGTAATTATTAGCTAATGTATAAACTGTACAACAATAAAGTAACCGTTATTCATAACGAGCAAAATATCTCAGTTTCTGAGGTATTTGAACCAAACTTGGTACACACACCTGATTGGATCAGCACAGCATATACACGGTTATACATTTTGCGTTTTCGAAAATAAACGTAAATAAACTACATTTGAAATATTTATATTTTTTAATCAAATTCCTTCGTTGCGTTTGAGGCAAGTTTCGATCACTTTTTGGCACATATTAGGTGGTATCAGAGCCATAACTTGGCGAATGTGGGTTTTCAATTGCTCAAGAGTTAGAGTTTCATTTACATAAAGAAGACTGTATGTATTATGTATGTATGTAATATATCCGGGCGTGTCTTGCAGCGCGATACCTACAAGCCTGAGTCACGTCCAATTTAGTAACATTGCAGCCCGCTTGAAGTTTGCCATACAAATCCAGAGGAAGAAAATTGTGCAGAGTCTCCAGATGGAGTCTCTAATGTCGACTGCAGTAATTAGAATAGCTGCCGACCGTTGAACACTCTCTAGTCTGCTCCTGAATGTGGTTTTCTTTTCAAGTTTCCCACAAAAATCTAATATTTAATTACTTTCATTAGTGAATTGGGTCAAGGATATTTTTCGTCTTATTTTTTATTTATTTATTTTTTTTTTTTTTGCATTAAATTCTTCAACATTACAACAACTCAACGCTGTGCAGTGAACACTGAAATTATTTTAATTAAAAAAAAAAAATTTTTTTTTTCTTTCCAAAACCCGTTTAAAAATGTGGAAATTGGAAAAAAATCTAGCTGTAAAACAAAAATGGCGTCCATTCAACATTGGTAACGCCTCTCAAGGATAACAACCACAAAACAACCCCCAGCATGTGACGGCGCTCACCTTTATTCCCAACGTTTGCATGTACCCATTTCCATTTCGTTTCATGCTCAGCAAGGTGAAATGCCCGGCTGTGGTGTTATTGTTGTGTTGTATGCGTAGTATGAGTGTTGAGTACACCACACCCACACAGCGAAAGGCTTGCAGGCTCACATGGCAGCGTTCGGCAAGCGCGCTCATTCAACAAATGTGCATAGCAACAACAACAACAACAACAACAACAACGAACTCAGCCAACAGCGTGAGCACAGTCAGGTCAGGCGATATTTGCTCGAAAATTATGCTTTTTTACATTCTCCATATCAGTTCTTTTTGAACTACAAAACGGTGCGGTGGCTTGTGAGATTTGTTATGCGGCACAGTGTAGCGGGCGTGTGTGAAATAGCTGTAAAATAATTTTTATTTAAAATAAATTGTGCTTGATTTAAAAAATAAAATATACTCGTATATTATATACATATAGTACGTATGTATGTATATGAATTTACACATAAAAAATGGCATAAAAAAGGATAAAACTTTCTTGGTGATTTTGTGCGTAAAGGAACAAAAAGAAATTTCCAAAAAAGGATAATAAATTAAATAAATAAATTTCGTATTGTACAAACAAGTGTTTTAGAAAAAAAAAAACAAAAAAAAAAGTGTGTGTATTGTTTTGTATAAAGTGGTGTAAATAGTGTAAGCCTTAACGCTGTCACTTCCCCAAATGTTTGACAAGAATATGGATACAGCGTTGTCATCATCATTACATATTGGTGATTTAGACTCGACTAGTTCCGGCGGCACATCTTCAGATAATTCAACCGTTATACAGGATAATATGCATTCACCCATACAATATGGTTGTCTCATACCAAACTCAAGTAAGGATCAATTGGAGTGCGTTTAGGGAATGTCTAGCCTTAGATCGTGTTGGGAAATATTGAAGCTGGCAGAAATATTTTTTAAATTAATTTATTTTTATTTTTCATATTTTTCTATAATTTAGGGGCAATTTTTTCCATTTGTTGCGAGAAAAGTGTGTCTTAAAAATACCATCGTGCTATATCTATACATATAAAAGGCTTCGTCCTGAGTGACTGACGGACCAATCTAAAGCCTAAGCCATTAGGCGTAGAGATCTGAAACTTAGCGAGTGTGTTTAGCATCCGAAAAGCAAGAATTTTCTGTGATGTGCACCTAAGACTGATCTAAGTATTCGAAAAAATCGATATTATTTGTAAAGCATTCGATTTTCATGAAATTTCATACATACATATGTACATACAAACCCTGTTTCTTCCGGGAAGTGAACTTGGGATCGGTCTATTATTTGTAAATTTTTTCGATTACCATTTTGATGTACATTAAATTTTGTACAGTGCTAACTTTGTGGCTAAATAAATGTGAGAAGTGACCTTGGAATCGGTTCGATGGTTCGGAGTTGATTGACGTATATCACTCTTTAACTGTGTCTGTTTTTCTTTTGGACCGATCTATCGGAAAGATTTTATTAAAATTCGATATATGGAGAGCTCTTTGCTTCTCCTTCTTCTTCTTCTTTTTCATGCGTTTTAACCTAACCGAATAAAAATCTTACTAGAACCTACTAAAAATTCCATGCAGACGAAGTCGCGGCCAAGCTCTGAAAATAATATAGGTTGTCAAAAATCTCCCTTCCGCTTTTTTGCTCTTCATTCAATGCTTTATAAAAAGTGTTACAGTAATCGGATTTAGTTAAAATATGCGCCGTTTTGTTCGATGATCTGTTTCCATCTAGGCGGCAACTTCATAATACCTTCCTCGTAGAAGCCCCCCTCCTTATTTGCGAAGAATTCGGACAGCCACTTTTCACAAGCCTCTTTTGAGTTGAACTTCACACCACCAAGGGCATTCGCTATGGACAGGAACAGGTGCTAATCACTTGGCGCTACGTCCGCTCTATGGTGGATGCGATAAAACCTCCCATGCGAGCTTGCGTAGCTTCTGACGAGTCATCAACGAAGTGTGTGGTCTGGCGTTGTCCTGGTGGAACACTACACCCTTCCTGTTGGCCAATTCTGGACGCTTCTGGTCGATCGCCTGCTTCAAGCGGTCCAGTTGTTCGAAGTAGATGATAGAATTAAGCGTCTGGCCATATGGGAGCAGCTCATAGTGGATGATTCCCTTCCAATCCCACCAAACACACAGCAAAACTTTCCTGGCCGTCAATCCCGGCTTGGCCACTGTTTGGGACGATTCACCGGCCTTCGGCCACGACCGTTTTCGCTTGATATTGTCGTATGTGATCCATTTTTCGTCACCAGTCACCATCCGCTTCAAGAATGGGTCCAGTTCGTTCCGCTTCAGCAGCATATCGCAGGCGTTGATTCGGTCGAGAAGGTTTTTTGCGTCAAATTATGCGGCACCCAAACATAAAACTTTATTTTGTATCCAGCCTTCTGCAGATGGTTCAAAATGGTTTGCTGACTAACTCCCATCTCCTGGGCGATGTCACGAGATGCCATATGTCGGTCTAACTCGATGTATTCCATGTTTGATCGGAATTTGTCGTCACAGGTCTTCCGCCGGCTTGCTTATCCATGGTGTCGTTTTCACCTGCTCTGAATCGTCGAAACCATTCCTCCGCGGTTCGAAGTGATAGAGTACCATCCCCCAAAACACCATTAACCTCACGGAACGTTTCTCTAGCGGATTTGCCTTTAACGAAGGAAAACTTTAAAATAGCGCGAATTTCGGCGTTAGTGAACTCCATGTTTACACGTCTATAACTGTTGAACGCAATATCCAAACTAATCATGCATAGCGTTGTTTTGTAGGTTATGTCAATACCTTTCAAATTATGTATAGTGTTGCCAGATACGAGCTCTGTAGAGCTTTGTACATAGCCGCGAAATTCAAAAGGCAAAAAAGCGGAAGGGAGATATTTGACAACCTATCTAATTACCGAAAAAGCGATTTCACTCCCGATGTTTCACCAACAAATGGAGGAACCTAGAGTTTATTCTAAGCCGCTTCCGAACGGCCGTTGGATTTTTATGAGGTGTTTTTTTTTTTTTAATTCATGTCAGTAACAAACTCAGAGGGCTGGACATTCCCCACTTGGAGCGGCCGGAATTGGAAAAACTAAATTTCTATAAATTTGGATGTTGGTCAAACCAGCATTCCAACTCTGGTCATTCGTACGCAATACTAACTACTCGGCTATTGCCTCCTTGCCTTGCTGAAAAAATCAACAATAGCACGTCATTCGTACTTTCTCGTCGTTGTTTGGCGCCAGTTGGAAATAAACCAGGTCGGCCTCAACCTGTTCCTTTCAATGCTGTCAAGGGCTTCCTCTTCCTCTGCTTACACCAACGAATACCGCAAAGAATACTTTCGAGTCTGAAGTATTTTCATCCATTCGGACGACATGATCTAATCGCCATAGCCGCTGTATCTTCATTCGTTCCATTGTCTGCGGTATTCGCTGTTGCCAATGCGCAAAGGGCCATAAATCCTTGGCAAAATTTTTCTCTTGAAAACTCCCAAGGCCAACTCATCAACAAGTGTTGTTATTGTCCATGCCTCCGCTACATTGCACAAACCGAGAATAACGAGAGACTTGAGGACTTTGGTTTTTGTTCGTCTAGACAAAGAAATTTACTTTTCAATTGTCTACTCAGTCCAAAGTAGCCGCTATTAGCAAGCTGGCTGACATTACTATTTGACTGTCAACAGTTAGTCGGGAGTCGATTCCCGAATGATTTGATATCAATGCTATTTAGCTCTGCAGCTCATATTATTTTCTCCACCAAGAAGTTAAAAAAGTCACATGAAAAAGAGTGACCCTGTCTGAAACCTCGTTCGGTACTTAAAGTCCCGCAGAAGTCCTTCCTAGTTCTGACTGTGCTTATAGTGTTGTCTTATATGAGTTTACACAGCCATATAAATTTTTTATGTGTAGAAGTTCACGTAAGTGGGGAAAGGTTTTTGGTTGTAATTCACCTATGGGTGACCAGAAAGGATTATTTTGCATATGGTATTGGTCTTCGTACAAGTATCGTCTGGGTTGCCAACAAAAATCGGTTTGAACGGCGGGTCTGAAAAAAAAGGAGCGTGGGGAAAGAACTCCTTCTCCAGCATATCCATCTAGTTGTTGACTGTTACAGAGATGTGAGGCCTGCTTTTTGCAGTTTACCGCTTATTCAAACTTTTCGGGCTTGCCAACGAGCGCGTCGCGGGTTTGGTGAAAGGGTTCAAGGTGAGATGACCACCGAACCTGATTTTCACAAGAAAATTTTGTTCATCATTGAAAGATATTTTTGACTGAATTGAATGTAGTGATGATAAGCCACAAACCGTGGAAAGTCATTGGTCCATATTTCTTTAAAAATGAAGCCGGTCATATTGTTACAGTCTGAACACGTTATCTCGCGTCATGGGTTTGTGGTTTGGACTCCAAGACCGTGCAATTTAACTAACCTGGACTATTCTCCATGGGGTTAGAAGAAATTGCTTGTGTGCCGAGATCAGCGCACAGACGATTGATGTATTGGAAGAGAATATTCAGATATATTGGAGAGGGAACACAACCGGAAAACGCTTTAACGGTTACAAAGCGTCAATTATAATCATATTTATATGTATATTAAAATATAAGGCTTCCATTATACTTTTCGGTTCTTTAAACTTTTTTTTGTTATTTTATAACCGATACACTTTATACGCATTATTTTTTCCAGATTACCGTGGCAATATCTCTTGTAAAACTGTGCTACACTTCGACAAGTTCTCCGCCTACGCCAATGATAAGGAGATCGAGCGAAGATTCGGCGATATCACAAGTGATTATGTTAGATCGCCGCCACCTACCGCCGCATGCTCGCCCCTCTATCCCGCAATGAATGGTGTCATATATGAAAATGGCATTGGTGATCTTAATGGAAATACGAAAACAATACACGCCAGTGAGTCGTTGCACAGTATTAGTCGCACAACAACGGCGGGCTTAAATGGGGGCGGCAGTCAACTGTTACCCAGTATAGGTGGCGCACATGGCATGCCAGGTGGATTTCAATTGGATCGTAAATTTTTACAATTCACCACCGATCAGGTGGGTGCCAAATTAATATTATTTTATTTTACATACATGCATACATACATACATATGTATAAACGCTGTAATAAATATTTTATTCCACCAATTCACAGATACAATGCATGTGTGAAGCGCTACAACAAAAAGGTGATATCGAAAAATTAACCACCTTCCTGTGTAGTCTACCCGCCAGTGAATTGTTTAAGACAAATGAAAGTGTCTTGCGTGCACGCGCGCTTGTCGCCTATCATCGCGGTCAATTTCACGAACTCTACAATCTCTTGGAGACACAATGTTTTTCAGTGAAATATCATGTGGATTTACAAAATCTCTGGTTTCAAGCACATTACAAAGAAGCGGAAAAGGTGCGCGGTCGACCATTGGGTGCTGTGGATAAATATCGCCTGCGTAAGAAATATCCATTGCCAAAAACCATATGGGATGGTGAAGAAACGGTTTATTGTTTCAAGGAGAAAAGTCGGAATGCGTTAAAAGATTGTTACATGACAAATCGCTATCCGACGCCGGATGAGAAGAAAACGTTGGCGAAAAAGACCGGTCTAACGTTGACACAAGTATCGAATTGGTTCAAAAATCGAAGGCAGCGCGATCGGACACCACAACAGAGACCGTAAGTTTTTTATTTGATTTAAATAGGCCATTGAGTTGGCTTTTTTTATATTTTTAGCATTTATATCGTTGAAAAATTGCCTTTACAACTTCTTTTCTCGCAAAAATATTATATTTTATTTGACGCTGGCCAATTCTTCTTTTAACTCATTATTCATTCACAATAAGCAATTTTCAGAGTTGTATACCCGAATCTCAAGCAACCAAGTTTGCCATGAAAGTTTGATATTTAAATTTAGAAGAATTGACAGAATTCCAAGATTCACCTACAAGCACAAATACATATATATTTTACACATATGCATATATATATAGTTCGTCAGTTTTGTGTACTCTTTGGGGGGTACAAAATTAGGTAGGATCAGAAGCTCTTCAGGTGTTGAAAAACTGTGATAGTAGTACTAGATGACAGTAGCAGCACCGATCGGAGGATGTTCATTTTGAACGAGCCACCAGGAAGTCAACCGATTTATATAACTGATTAACCAATAAAGTTTAGTGCATATTGCTGATTCAAGCTCTTCTCCGTCTTCCGTCTTCGCGATTCACTCTCCCATTCTGAAATCATGTAATATTTAGGGAAATCAATTTTAAAACTTTACGGGAATCATGAAAAATTCTATGTCGTCTCCAATTTTAAACGGAAATTTATCGAATATAGCTGTCAGGGGAACTTTCAAAGAAAACAAAATTAAATTTTTAATTAAAAATGGTAAACCTTTAGTTATGGAAGAAAATAATTGTTTTGAACCGATCGAACTTTTTTTCAACTCAAAACCTATACCGATTCGACAGATATTGTTGTTGTTGTAGCGGCTTGCTTAATCCATCCTGGGAGTCATTGAGGTCATGTAACGAGAGGTTCGGGAAACGAACTGATTGGCAGGTTGCAAACCAGAAAAAGAGTGGGCATGCAAAGAGGTGAAGTGATCGAAATTTATTTTAGTCAGAAACAATACTGATTCGTCAGATTGGGAGGACTCTTCAAATGAATTGGTTTTTGGTGGAAATGCAAAGATCGGGAGGTTATTATCGTATCTGCTTTAAATATTTAATATATGTATGTCGATGTTGGGTCTAGATAAACAGAAGTTGAGTCTACAAATCTTAGATGTGCCAGTCTCGGGTCTTACGAGACTGCTTTAGCACTTCGTGTTCGGATCTATGCGGGAAGAGAGTTTATAACGATTTTTGGGTACTCTCTGTGATTGGCGTTTAGAGCGTGTCGGTATGTCGTTCTATACAACTGTCTGTTTTGTCATGTCAAGACATCAGTAGGTTTCCAACTACAGTCCTAAGTGCGGTGTGTTTAGAGGCTTGTAGATCCCTCATCTGTGTTTCGCTAGTCGCCAGATCGGTGCAACGTAATTAATGAACGGCTGGGCGATTGTCTTGCAAGTTGCAAGCAGTTTTTCTTTACTTTTTTTTGCCTAGTGCTGCCGATTGCGATTCAGCTCTGTACCTTGGTAGCAATGGCAGTCGTATGTGGAGTCATGAAGTGGGGTTATTTACTGTAGAAATTTTGACGCTATAAACTTTCACATTCACTCATTCGTCCAGCTGCTGAAGAGCATAGCCGAGGACTTCGGTGGTTTTGGTTGCATCTGTCGTGGAGCGAAAGAGTGGGAAAGGTCGATGAAAAAAGAGTTTACTTTCGAACAAAGATTATCAATAACCTAACCAGATGCTAATGCTTCCAGCAGTCAACGGCATAAGAGAACGGGAAAACAAGTACTGGTGCTGGAGGCTGCTTTGTAATGTGAAGATTAAATGAAAGCGGGTAGAGGGCACCACCCTGTGAGCCTTACAGGCTGCTTCATTTTTCCATGTTTTGAATTTCGAACTCGAAATTCGATACTTGTCGAAGAGATATTAGCTGATATGAGCTACTGAGTTCGGATGGTGAGTAAGAGGCGGGAGTGTCTTTCTTACTGAGAGCAAAGGAGAGATCTCAGCTGATATGATTATTATTTGTTGGCATTTAGTAGATGGCCCAAACTACGCTGTTTCTCTTCTAAAAATTATCGAATCAAAAATATTTCCAAGAACGGTCTCACCTGTTAATCAGAGTTGTGCATTTCGCTTGTCAGGGTTCGAGTCCTCGGCTGATAAAACAGTCAAAAATTATAGAAAATATATTTATCTATTTGCGATCACCACATGGCAATGACTTCCAACCCTCCAAATGTATTTCTGATATGAAAATCAAAGCTCCTCATAAAAATCCAAACTCCGTTCGGAGGCGGGTTGGGGTAAACTGTAGGACCCTCCATTTGTTGGGAAAACAGCAAGATGCGCAGCACAAATTGAAGGTGGAGTTCGAACGAATTTCGCTGCAGCGGCTACAAAAAGCCAATTATATACGTACATACGTACATATGTAGCGCACCACCATCGAGCTGCTCCATTTATTTGTTTAACGAATAATTTCTCAAAATTAGCCATTACACTCACCATTTATTCCTACAAATCGACATGTGCAATTCAATAAAGGACGCGTACCAAAATTTACTCAATAGCATAACAACAATCAGTATTAAACTCAACATTTTCGAAACGGTTTCAAATTACGAAAATTTAAAGAAAAAACTAAACTTCTTTGAATCGTACAGAATCTACGCACGCCAAAGGCTATACGCGTCAAAAGTCACAGCGGGCAGCCACTTGACTTTATGTGCATTTATGTACATACATATGTACACGTATATATGTATGTTTGTAGTTCGAAGGGCGAATGCGTAAAGTGGTTTCACTGAAAATGTGAAAAAATTTCCCTATAAATCATAAGGGAACGACCAAGGGATTTGGCGGGTGGGTGTTATTGGTCAATGGCAAGTGAGTTAAAGCGAGTGGTATGTGTGTACATATGTATGTAAGCATCTATGTGCGGAAAATTCAATCGCACCAAATTGGCATTAAAAATCATTAAGTGCAAGCTGACCGTTTAAAAGCGTACAGAAAACTGAGTAGAAGAAGCCCTGGCTGTGTTGCGCCTATGCATTCGTATGCGCATATGTATGTATATATATTTGTATGTACTCGCATGTGCTGCATGTGTATTTCCTGTTGTGTAAAATGTTCGTATAGTGTTGTTGTTTTTGTTAGCACTTGAGCGTGTTTTATGCGTCCATTTGCATCATTGCGCCGCTCCGGTTCGTTGGCGGTCCAAATGCAGTTTTCGCATTTTATTCTTTATTTTTTAATATTCTACAGACTTGTAGTCGCCACACATTGATAGATTTTATTTTATTTTATTTTATTTTATTTTTTTTTTTTACTACAAAAAAAAAAGCCCACCAACACAAACAAGTGTGCTTCGCATGCGCAACGCATGTGCCGTACAATACACAGCACTTTAGTGCTCGCACAGTGGGGTGTCAGTGTGAAATACACTCCGCTTCTTTCTAAGTACTGCGTGCTCAGGGCATAACAATTTTGTCATTTACAACTGCATTCAAATTCGATTCGCACACGCCCATATGAGAAAACAAAAATAGCCGTAATGCAGTGATTAGGCAGAGCCTAGGCGGCCGCAATAGTCGAATGGTAAGCATCGCGCACCAACATTGACAAGAACAGGGTTTGAGTTCTGGTCCGGCCGAACATCGAAAATTACTATATATATCTGGTTGAGCAAACATAACGCCACTCGACGAAGACAAGGATCTAACCATGTGTAGAATACCAAGCAAATATGGAAAGTTGTTTGACTTGGAAACGTTTATTTTACATAGTATAGTTTGAGCGGCTCATAACTTCCTATCATGGACCAAGTAACCATTGTGAAGCCAATAAGAAGTCAAGCTGAAATGAAAATACAAACACAGTGGGGTTTTTCGAGAGGCCGAAAACATTTTGCAGATCAGTATTTGAGGGCATGTACCTGGAGTGTCCGGTCCTTTAGTTGAAAAGATGCCGCTGCCTAGCTAGATATGTTCGAAATACTAAAGCGAAGTTCTTCAGCAAATTACATATGAGCGCTTTCTCGGTTCAATTGTGTCATTGTGGTCGTTACTTGCAGGCATATGTTTTACATTAAAAGATCAAATGAGACGAAGTTAAGTTAAGGATACCGAATTAAATTTTAAATTTATAAGTTTACAAAAACTAAGTAAAAAAGTAAAAAATTATTTTCGAAATTGCACATAACCTCACTTTTTTCGAATCCCAACAGAAGCAATTACAAATTATTTTATTAGGTAATTGTTCACGCCTATTTCATTTAGGGTATCAAATTGACGTCTTCCATTTAAATTAGTCAGTTCATTAAATTTTTCTTCTTCTTCTTCTTTTCAGTGATATCATGTCAGTGCTGCCTGTTCAACAATTGGATACCAACGGTTTCCCGCGTATGTTCAATGCCCCCAGTTACTATCCGGAATCCATTTTTAACACACAATAACATAAGATTTTACAGTTTTAAAAATACCATGTGTTCTTTTGTTCATAAGAACACTGACATTGGCTTAATTTATTACTTATGTATGTATGTAATTTTGTAAATAATTAAACTAAAAAAAAAGATACCAAAATCGGTATAAGAAGTCCATTGAAAATGGCGCATTAGCATAAATTGTTTTTAGAACTAAGTTAAATTTTAAATAAAAATAAAAAAATTATGTATGTATATTTTATGGAGAATTCAAAAATATGGCAATACATTTTAAAATTTTGAAAAGAAACATAAAAAATATAATGAAGTTTTGTTTTATTTTCAAAATCATTTTAATTTTAATACAACAAATTCTTATCATCCGAAATTTGATGGCTGCCCAAATTTTAATCGAAATCGAATTAATCGAATCGATCGAAAACAGCTGTCACAACCGATACAAGACAAAACAAAAAATTAGAAAAATGCCGAAAACTGCGAAAAACTGTTCTCGCGTATATAAAGGGTGTTTTTTCTGTAATATTTGGTGTAATATTTTGGTTGGCATCATTTTTAAAGAAATATGGACCAAGGATTCCACCGCCCATTAATCACACCAAACATTGACATTTGGAGGAAGTGACAGCGTCGCAACAATGGTTTTTAGATTATCATCAGTCGAAATGTGACGCGCTTGATGGTCCTACGGCTCCTTTACAACCGAACACAAGCTAAACATTCAGAACTATCATGCACAATGTAAGATTTAGGTTATGTGAGTCATTCGCAGGAAAAGAATACTTTTGTGACCGTCTCTATAAAAAAGTAGCTTCGAAGGAGAGAATATTGGAGATGCCAAATTGGTCACCACTTTAATAGCGTAGTGGCTGTCACCATCGGTTGGCTCAAGCTTTCAGCGCCTTGAGATGTTGTTAAAATTGCAATACAGGATGAAACCTTAAATTCCAAAGAAACTTGTACGTAACTTACAAGGCAATTATACTGATTATATCCTTCATGCAGGACTTACACAGTAAATCCAATCACCAACTATTGTAGAGCTGGAGCTGCCACCCGAGGTGGAGCTGCAGTGTCCAGGTAATATTAGTAAAGTTAAGATCTGGATATTGTAGTCGACCTAATTCAGACTTGACCGTGGCATACCGATAGCTAGTACATTCTAGAGCGATAAAACGAGAACCTTCGATATCGAACAACTCGATTACTCTACACTTTCGTCTACAAGCAGCAGACTGCTATATAAGGGCGACACTCAGCTGTCAAGTAAGTTAGTTACAAAGTGAGCTCGTTGGCGACAACATCAGTATAGAGTATAGCAGAATAAACTATTTGTTTATATTGAGTCGTAAAGTAAACGCGTTGGAGATTACATTTAAGTAAAGTAAATTGGTGAAAGTTTTATATTGTACAAGGGATTGTGACTAATAAAGTGCATTGTAATTGAATTGTGAATTACTAAGTAAATAAAGGACATTAGATAAATTCTTTTTTTTATTTAACAGTCAAGAGATCGTGCCCGAAGGATTCAGAAAATCATCGAGGTTGATTCAGCAAAATCGTAACAATACATAAATCTAGTTCTTTTATTTTAAGGGTATACAATTTACACCGATACAACCCTGCACTTAATAAAAAACCCGGTGAAATGTCATCACGTGACGTTTTCTTCATCTAACATTAATGCACAAAGAGTAAAAGGCGATAAAAGAAAACAACGTTGTGTGACCGGAATATTAACAAAATATTTATTAAACTGTATTTATAACTCAGAAAAATATACTGAAAATGGCGAACAAAAAGGGAAACAATGGTGGACGCACACAGCAGCAAATAAATGTAAGTTATTCATCGTATATTATTATGTACAATTATACTTACATATAAATTTCTTCGCAGGATTCCAAAGATTATAGCACATTCAAAGTTGTATTCTTCTATTGCTCCCTAATAGTGTTCCTGCCGGTCGCGACATTTTTCCTACTTAAATCCACTGTATTGGAACGATTCTTTACCATGTCCGAGGTAACGACCAACATATATTCAGCGGTAGGTGCTGTTGTCGCCTTACACTTGGCTCTCGGTCTATACATATACCGTGCATACTTTGGTGGCGCGCTCCAAGCGTCGGATACATATAAAAAAGTTGATTGAATGTTATGCATTCAAAGAGTATTTAAAAGTGATCGATCAATGAGGTGGTATGCTGTAAGCTGGCCATTAACGGCAGCAGTGATGAACATATGACTTCATTTTGTGTATTACATACAATTCATGTTGCTTGAATGGTGAATTCACAAATAGACATTTTTATAACAAAATATGCAGATTTTCTGTATTAGTCAAGCTTGTTTCTATGCTTTAAATTGTGTTTAAATTATAAGTTTTAAGCATCATTTTGTAAAAAATGTTTTATGCATAGACATAAATGTAATAAAGTATTTGTAAATAACTACATAAAGTCGTATAATTTTTTTTAAGCATATAAAGCTTATATATTTACACTATCGCCTGTTTATATATTTGCGCTTGCAGTATTTAATTCATTAAATTTTTTATATTTCAACTCAAACTTTCAATTTTCTTTTTATAAACACACATACAAACATACAATCATATACAAAATGTGTACAAACTTCATGTTTTGTCAACAACGTTGTTTGCGTAATCTGACATTTTGCTTGTGATATAAATACACGTTTCCTTCCGTACGTTAAGTGAGAAATGTAAATAGTGTAAATATAAAGAACAATGAATTAAAACTGTTATTTTATATACATAGAGTTGAAATTACAATGAAATTTTTCCCTTGGCGTGGTAATAATTTACGCTTTTATAATCGATGGCTGAAGCAATTGGGTAATACAATAGGCGTACGGGAGAGACCAAAAATCTATAATCTCGGCGCGTGCTTTGAGTTGGACGAATTGGTAAGTGGAAAGCCCCTAGATATCACCTACCAACATAAAAAAATATATATACCAAATTAAAATCAAATTTTTTATCAAAAATTTCAGTAATTGATAAATTCACTGATAAACAGGTGATAAGCAACTGACTACAGTGTTGAAAAACTTTAATTTGACTCTCATTTTGTTTATTAACATTCCTTTTTCTTTTACATTGGAAACTACCGATAAGTTTCTGATTTCAATCGCTCATTTGAACTTTATTTGTACATTTAATTCAACTAGTGAAAAAGCTAAAAAATATTAAAAACCTATAGTAAAAAAGAATTGAGTAATGTATCTGTGTATATTGTACTGGAGAACTATCGATTACCATTATAATTATATTTTATGAAAGAATTTAATATTTTATTTTATTTATAACTAACCAATTAATTTAAAGAAGTCCAATGTAAAGCAATTACTTTAAACTTACGTTAAAAAATTTGTTGATTAACGCAATATAGATACAAATCTATCGAACTTATCGAAACTTACTGTTCACCCCTAGTAGTTACTAAAAACGTTTTAACCCGTCTCCGTATAAATATCTTCAAAGCGTAAATATAAGCTTTATTTACCACAAATGTGTTACCACAGTAACATCTTTAATTCGTTTAAAAGCGCACGGTTTTTATACATACATATATAATTAAGCATTGAAAAGAGTTTAATTTTGAAACAAACAGAAAACACTTGTTCGGCATAGTATAAATGAAAAAATACACAAGGAAACAAAACACTTGTTGCTTATTTTGTATGTGTAGTATATATGAAGTCCGCCGGTCGATTCAGTTGTTGATTTGCTTCCGTGTCAGTGGCATACATTCTTAGTTACATACTAAATTTCCACCTGACAAGTGGTTTAATAAACCGCAATATGTCGTTGCTTAAAGCATATTTTGCGCTGCTCTTCCTACTATGTGTCAATGTATTTGCCAAGAAGGATGTAAATGGTGACTTCTATGTTGGTCGAAATCAGGTTAATGAAATATTAGATTAGTAATTATGTGATTACATTTTGATTGCATATGAAAACATATTCGAGATAAATAATAGTAAGTATTTTATTTTTCAGATGATATATCGCACTGAAGAACTATCACAAGAAAAGTTCCTGGCATATAGTCCACTTTCAAATGGCACACATTTACGCGAAGCGGTTAAAAATATACTTGTACCTCGAGTTGTCGGTTCTGCAGGACATACGATGGTACGAGATTATATAGCAAGTGATCTGCGTGATCTCAACTGGAATGTAGAAATTGACAAATTTCATGAGACAGTGCCTATTTTGGGTAAATTACATTTTCACAACATCATTGCGAGACTCAATCCGGATGCAGAACGTTATTTGGTACTAGCGTGTCATTATGACAGCAAATACTTTGAAGAATTTGAATTCCTCGGTGCAACCGATTCAGCAGTGCCGTGCGCAATGCTACTCAATATGGCGCATGTACTACAAGAGGCGTTGGAGCCATTTCGCAATTCCAAACTTAGCCTTATGTTCATTTTCTTTGATGGCGAAGAAGCTTTTAAGGAGTGGGGACCAAATGACTCAATTTATGGTGCAAGACATTTAGCTAAGCGTTGGGAAGACGATGGCACGATTAACCGTTTGGATATGTTGGTATTATTGGATCTAATTGGTGCAGCTGATCCCACATTTTATAACTTCTTCCCTAACACGGAAGCTTGGTATTCACGTTTAATATCATTGGAAGAACGTCTTTCAAATGCAGATATGTTGGATCATTATATAAGCAATGGAATATCACGCCAATATCCAAATCGATATTTCCAACCGAATACTATGCGTTCATCATTTGTAGAGGATGACCACATACCCTTCCTAAAGCGTAACGTCCCCATATTGCATTTAATAACTTTGCCATTTCCAAGCGTTTGGCATACCAAAGATGACAACGAATCTATAATTGATTATCTTGCCACAGAAAATATAGCACGTATTCTACGCTTATTTATCATGGAGTATTTGTTGAGTTCTCAACACAATGAATGAAAAAGATAGGGACGTACTTTTAGAGTATTATATTATATAATTAATATGATAGATTTCCTAACGGTTGATTTGTAACTCTATTATCAAATTAATTACCAGAATATTGCGGTGGGAACCGAAACACATTGTTATATTTGAACCTATAAACTTGTTAGAATGTGCGTCAAGATTTTTAGATACTGACAAAAGCTTGCATGATTAAATTAATATCCAGAAAAAGTGTATGTATATTTTAGATAGAATATATGTAAATTTGTGTATATGTACTTAGCACGTTTTGTTGAACATTGCTTATAATATTTTTAATATGTATTTACTTTGCACATATTGTCCATTTTTTTTTTACTTTTGTAAATATTATTAATTACGTAGATGCTTTAGATAATTAAATGACAATTAAAAACATAGTAAGATTTGTGTATATACGAGTATAAAAATATTCTTTAATAAATAATTTATAAAATTTCAACTTTAGTTGGTATTGTTATTCAGCATATAAGCTAATTGGAAAATTAGTCGCATATATATGTACCTATCAATGTAAAAACCTTAAAATCATATCTTATCTTTGCATTTTTATCGTTAATTAGTTTTTCACGAAAATAGTGAAGTCCCCAACGTAGAAGAATGAAAAGACATGAATAATTCTACAATCGATTACGTCTTGCACTCATCGATATTTTAATGAAATATTTTTATTTATATAGCAAAATGTGTTCTACAACACTGCGAAATCATATGTTTTCTTTTTTTTGACTTTTCGAGGCAATCGATGGTGTAACATATTGATTTTATTTCTGCAGGATTTTTAATAATATATTAATAAAAAAATAGTTCTCAACGATGCTTAAGCTGCGTGCTCCAACGTCCTTGAGTATACGGTAGGTATTAACTAAAAAATAGCCTTGAAATATATACATGTGCCAATTCATTTTTCCGCAGGGTACTCGCTTCTCGTATAGCCGGCGTACGCAATTTCAGTAAAGACTACGATTCATCTGATGATGAAAGGGAAATAAAATCTAAAGAAAAGAAACTTAACACCAAAAAGAAAATTGAGTCTCAATCCACTTCTCCTCAAAGCAAACCTACTGACACCGACACTGTTGAAGAGCCCGCAATTAATCGCCTGAATCGTTTGTTAGCCAGCATGCCTACTGAAGACTCCTTTTCGTTTGCAAATAAGAAAAACAATTTTACATTAGCACGTCCAGGAGATGCTCATAAGAAACGTAAAGAGGAATTGAAACGTGAAACTGCGTCGAAGGATATTTTCGTAGCAGCCAAGCGTGTAGCTTCACTTGCGTCCGACGGCGAACAAAACCAACAAATAGAATCGGAATTATTAGCTAAACTGTTAGGACATAGTAAGGATGAGCGAGTCATAGACAAATCTAATAGCGAAACACCAACTAAACCAGCCGCAGAAATGAGTTTAAGGTAAGATTTTGGAAGCATATTACTCGGCATTTCACTAATTCAATCAATCGTAGCGAACTAATTGTTGGCATGAAAATTGATCGCTCGCAAGCACCACAGGAACAAAGTCGTGGTGAATTTGTGCGACGCTCTATCGCAGCTAAAGCCCAACAACAACAACTGAAACAAGGACAGTCATTTGGTGTACGTAAAGAGCGCAAACGTGAAGCCGCCACTTATACGGGTAGTGTCAACTTATTTGGGTCTGAACCTATGGGTATTTTCAAAAATGCCGCTGAACTACGTGATGTACCCGATATACTTTCAACGTGGGCACATTTACAACAAAACGAACTTAAATTGCTCGTAACACATCCGCCTGCAAACTATTTCGAAAAATTGGCTTTGTGGACGGAACAAGGAAAGGTTTGGCGATTTCCAATTGACAATGAGCAAGATTTAACCGAGGAAGTAGATGTTGACTTCTCCGAACATATCTTTCTTGAGCAGCATCTTGAATCTTGGTGTCCAGATAAAGGACCCATTCGTCATTATATGGAGCTGGTTTGTGTGGGTTTGTCGAAAAATCCCTACATAACAGCGAAGGATAAGAAAGAACATATACTATGGTATCGGGATTATTTTGAGTCCAAAAAGGATTTACTCCGAGATTTAATAGCGCAAGAGAAAGATGGAAAGACGAGTGGAGAACAGAAAAAGATAAATGCTTAGATGTTGTGTTTTAATTATATGTACCTATGTGTTATTATGTTTCAGGAGGCGAAATATATATTATGATTTTTTAAAAATATATTGTATATTGTGTATGAAATTTAAATTAACTAATGCGCTAAAGCAAAGTTAAATATGTAAATAACAGTTAAACACCCTCAACTTTTTAAAGAAATTTTGTCCATAAAAAGTTTATTGGAAAATATTAATATTTAGCAAATTATTTGTAAATATCCGTGTATGAATGACAACAATTCAAAATTGCACATTCTCATACATTCTGGGATTGCGCTGTATATTGTCTTCCATAACACGTTTACGTATAAGCTCCCATTTGTCAAGTTTCTCTAATATATCTGGCAGAACTGAACGTATCGCTGCACGTGAAATTTCCGGTCCATCGCGTAATTCTGCATTTGTTTTAAAATTATAATTTGGTGTATAGCCGTTAAGTTTAAGGAAATGGTCGAAATAGAATGGTACAATTTGCTCTTGAATGGTGTCCATAATACCAATACTGTCGCGTGCATCGTGCAATTGCATAACATCGCCCTCATCATGGAAGGCACGAAAGAAAAATTTAGTGTGCTCCGTGACACGCTGCTCCTTGAAGGAGATTTTCTTAGGTTTCCTTTTAATTATGTAGCGTGGCAGTTTGCCTGTACGTTTCGGTTTTACATACGGTGGCTCCAAATTGCGACGAACCTTTTTCATTTCACTCTCAATACGCTTTTCCACCTGATACGCTTGTCGAGAGATCTTACGGTCGTAGGCACGTCGGCGTCGTAACTGCGCCTCAATACGACGACATTCATCCACAGGTATTGATTCAAACTTGGCTGTAAAGAAATTAGAAATTTACGGTATTTAAATTTTTGAAATTGAAACAGTCTTTTTAAAAAAAAATACTCTAAAAAAAGTGTCAATCACGGTTTAAAACTGTAGGACCTTCCATTTATGGAAAAAAATGGTCTCACAACTAGGATAGGGACTTCGACCGAAAACCGGCAAATGAAGACCGCCTTAGAAACTCCAGCTGAGGTGCTATCACAGGCTGGTGCGAATGCCTGGTCGTAGGGAATCACTCTCAGCCACATGAGAAAGAAAGTACTGGAACCAATGAAACGATTTCCGAAATTGAGGGAACAACAGTTTTTTTAAGCCACTCTCCGAATGTCTGAAGAAGTATTATTAGGAGCTTTTTCTTTCATGTCAAAAATGTAGTCGAAGCGGTTGACATACCCGGTCGATCGGCGACTGCAAAAATTTCCAATAATATTGGATTTTGGCCTAACCAATATTCGAACCCAGCATAGGAGGATGCGACAAGCCTTTAACACCATACATATAGGCCCAGTCAATACCTTTTACCACTCTCTTTCAGTGAATAACGTCATCAGAACCCAATCAATGCTTATATCAGTCGACGAGCTCGAGCTTCCTCGTGAGAGCCGAGGTGTTTCGACATAAGTAAGATCTGGATAGTACCTTCTTCTTTTGCAGAAACGTCGCTTACGTGGTTATAGGCAAATTATTAACAATAAAGCGACAGTCGTTTCTGCTTTTAGATTTCTGACGCCAATTGGAGATACCATAAAACCTTCCTTCTTTTTTCTCCTGATCCTTCCAACGATACGGAGGCCTCTCTCTTCCTCCGCTTCCATCAGTTTGCACGGCATCGATTACTTTAAGAGCTTGAGTATTTTAATCTATGCGGACAACATGCCCAGAGTTCGGTGCGAGCCCGTCTAAAAAGCCCATTTGAAACGCCTCGTTGTTATCGACAGGCTTTTCCTGCTCCTAAAAGGGGGCTACCTAAGCGCAACAACAACAATAACACTACCTCATACTATCGGTTGTCGGTCGCCGTTAACTCACAGTAAAACTACATACTTACATATCAACTCCATCGCCACCTCTGAGATCATGGCAACCATTTCCATTGGTTCAAGATCATCCCCACTTCCAGTACGCATATTTGCCGGCACAATCTCACGCCACACCTCCCCAATGACTGCACGATGTTTGATAAAAGTCTCATCATTGAATGAGCTTTCGACGGGCTGCGACAAAAAGTCGAAGGTACGCATCTTCATTTCCGCTGCACGATCAGACATAAAATATAATTTTGCACATTTACGCGAAACATATGATTGCTTTTCCCTCAAATCCTCCAGACACCACTCTTCAAAAGTTTCCAAACGACTCTGCAGCTCTGTATGTATGGAGAGCGTGAAGTGCATTTCCAGCAGCAGAACGAAGGTTTTGATTTTTAAATTTTCTATGCCTCTCATAAAACTATCAGCATCGGGAAATACCATCAATAAAGGATGTAAATTCTTCATATAAACATCTTCGTAATAGCTCTTAATTGCCCAAGCGTCATCTTTATCACGCTTACGTATATTTACAGAGTTCCGTTTTGCTATGGATTCCTCGAAATTCTCTAATTCAATCGTTATCTTTTCACAACCACCTTCTTCTCCAGTCTTCTCATCTTCGCCGTACTCCTCATGCTCTTTATCCTCTCCATCCTCCTCCTCCTCCTCTTCGTCGCACTCGGAGCCACGCTCCGTGACCTTTTTAATACGATGTATCCAATCGTTCTCGTAACGCCACTCGGAGTCACCAAGTAGATAGTGAAAGTTTTGCAACATGATGCGACGTATCCAATGGCCTTCAATAAACACGATGTCCATATTCAATACGATCTGTTGACGTTCCAATTCCCGAAACTCGCGTTTCAAGGCATCGGTACGGTCGTAATAGGACTTAACCTGCGGGCAGAAGCAGACATTTTTTGGAAGAGTGTTAGAATTATGCAAGTTTCGGTTCGCGCAACTGATATGCGGTGTTGATACTTTATCCTTGGATTATTTTTAAGCTGGCACACGTAGAATGGCAGCAAAACAATTGAAAAGGAGCCGACCGAGCTCGACTCAAGACATTTTTTTTTTTGTTTTTAACAATGCCCCGGCAAAAACGGACAAAGCAGTTGAAAAAGGACCAACCGAGCTCGATCTAAGACCGCTCGACGTCGTATCAAAACCGATATCAATTGAGGCTCCAATGTCTTCAGTTATACCAACCTTATGTACCACCGACATCGCCGCTTCATATTCACGTTTCTCCCACTTTGCAAACAATTTCTCATACAACAACTTTATACGCATCATATTCTCCCAATGGTGTTCGTTGAGACGATCGTATATTTTCGTACGCACTATTTGACCTTGTATGAGCATAGATTCGAATTTTAAACGCAAAGCGTCCTTAATAAACGAGCTACCCGTCTTGAAACTGAACATCTTCACAGGCGGACGGTTTTTCAATTCGTCCACATAGTTCTCATCGATATCTGTCGTTACAACACTGCGATACCTATGCGCACCGCGACCAATCAGCTTCTGTCGCACATCCTCCACTGGTACTTCGAGACGCAAACGTAAGCCATTTTGTAGACGTGTGTTAAATGTAAAAAAATTATCTTTAACTATACTCAGATCATGCTGATCCTTGCCTTGCCCCGTAAATGGTAGCACCTTAAAAGGATTATTTTCCTCAGCCTCGATATCGAGCGGCTCCAATTTGAAACGGCAACGGTTCAAGGACTCGAACGGCACAACCGATTTACGTATGTAGTCGAGTGGAATTTTCGTTTTACCCTCCATTAGCAGAAAACTGCCACTGTCATTTGTTAGATTCGTGCATACCGAGCTACTGAGCGATGTTAAGCAGGATTCAATACTTTTCAGGTCCTCTTCTATCTCTTGTATGATTTCTTCACGATCGACAGCAAGCTTTTGACTAGCTTCTTCATTTGCTTTGGTTTCGTAAAGCGCCCTACGCACCTCATGTAAAAAATCCAAATATTCCTTACGGCCTGGATAGTCTAATGCATCTAATTCGGTCGGTGGTCGGCTGTGAAAAGTAAATTCTCGCGATTGACACTTATCCTTGATGCGGAGCGTCTTATCGGTAGTTACATTGTTTCGTGTCTTATGCATATAGTCCGCTATCAACTCCTTCGTGTCCCATTTAGATATAGTCAAATCCATCTCAACGAATTGGTTGCACGGCGGTTGTGCCATACGAAAATTTTCCATAATAATATGATCCTCTTTGGTTTTGGCCTTCATCGCTGCCGCCTTGACGATTTTGGCCTGATAATGCACGTCCACCGGTTTCTGTTGCGTATGATCCCAGTGGTCGTGGTGATGACGCGCTTCGAAGATTTTCGCATATTCACGTTTTTGCACTTCACGTAAATTACTGAAATTCATATCATCACCCTTTAATTTTAGCAAATGCGGCTTATGCTTTGCGGCAACGGTTTGGTCGAACAGCAGGGAAGGTACGCGTTCGTTCAAATAGTCGCGAGGTTTACGCGGATGGCGACGTATGGTGGTTTCGCGGTATTTCGGCGCAGGCATGTTACCACGCAAGGGCAACGGTAGCGCAAAACTTTTCGCCTGCCGCGCGCGCTCGTTCTCCTCTTCCTGATCGATTAGTTCCGGTTCGGGCGTTGGCACCCATTCGGAGTCTGTGCTCGTATCGGATTGCTCGCATTTGGTTTGCAGGCTTGACTTCTTCTCCTCATGACAGGGTATACCCAGCAATTTGAGACGCTTTGCTTTGATTTTCGCCTTCTGTTGTTTAATCATGTTCTCTTTGGCCGCCATATACTCAAGCGTGGTATTCAGCTTCATCAAATCGATTTTATCATCCTCCATTGTGTGTTGTGCTTTAAAGAGACCCAAATCTTTTGTTTTGTCGCGATAAAGAAAATGTATTAAATTGAACTTCTTGATGGAATACTCAAGTCGTGGTCGTACCATTTTGAACTTTTTACGTAAATCCCGATCATAATGACGGCCCAGCCGCTTTTCGATGTAGTCGCGCACGGCGCTACTCTTTATTTGCGGTAACTTATAGCCGAATTGTGGCAGGAAAATCTTAAGCAACGGATCGTCGGGTCCACGTAGCTTGGGTATGCCCTCTTCGATATCCATTTTGACTGCCTCCTTTTTTGGCACCAGCTCTGCCAACCATTCCTCACGTGTTTCACAAGTTTTTACTTTACCTGCACCGCCGGTTTTTTCAGTTTGATGTCGTTTGCCACGCAGCGACTTGGCCAACTTGAAGTGGAAACCGCGCAATTTAAATTTACTACCACGCTTGCCGACTTCGATGTCATCCTCATCATCGCTCGACTGTTCGCTCAGTTCGGGACTCTCATTGCTATGTTTCGGCGTATCGCTGCTCAGCTCGAGCTTTGCTTCGGGATAGTCTTTAAATTTACCGAAAGTCCGCAAGTAATAATCCTGTTTAACAAGCGCATTGTCACATTTAATGCGATTTTCAGCTTTCATTTTCTTTTTGAATTGCTTAGTTTCACGCATCGTATGCGGAAAAGGTGGTGTCGGCTCCGACGGTTTACGCAGCAAACGCTCCATCTTTATCTGTGGGTCACACGCTGTGTTAATGGTATTTAGTACTTCTGCAAAGTGATTCCTTGCCAACACTGTCGGCTTCAGCTCCTCATCGACTTTGTCTTGCACCTTTTTTACGGTCTCTGCTTCCTCCGCGAGTTTTTTGCGCTCTAAATAAAGATCCTTATAACGGTTGCGTCGTTCATGGGCTTCCTCGTCTATTTTCTTTTGATTATAAGGCTTGTCAACTGCACGGAACAGCTTACAAAATGGCAGTGGCGACTTAGGCGTTGGTACTATGTCGTGTTGTATGCGATCTGGCACATCAAAGCATTGCGGCACTGCAAGCCGTTCATTTTGCAGTTCTTCCTCAACCTTATCCGCGGTCTCTTGTTTGACGCGTCGCCTCTCCATGTAGCGCATGATGCTACGATATAGACTTTGATTTTGTATGTCCTGCTCATCAGCCTGATAGGTTTCTTTATAGTCGACACCTTGAAAGTCCAACTGCATTGGATTATCCAAATCGATTTGATCGCAAATAAATGACTCTGATGATTGCGACTGTGTCTCACCGCAAACATTGTCCGCATATTTGACCGTTTTTGTTAATATATTGAATTCACGTTTTTCGGAAAATGCTTTCGTACGCAGCGCCTGGGGATTTACTAAACAATACTTCTTGCGTGGATCCTGTGTGAGAAAGAATTTTTGTCGTGTACGTGAGAGTTTGGCGAATTCTTCAAAATTTAATGGACATGTGCCGACAAAGGGTTTTGGTGCACCGGCCACAACACTCTCACGACATGGTTTCTTCCATTCTGCTCCATGAAGAGCCATATGTTTTGCGCCCGATTCCTTGTGTTGTGTGTCAATCATTTCCTGTGAGGTCACAACCTTTTCATCTACTTCCCTTTTTGGTGGTGTAGTTTGTATGCTGAGTGAGCTGCTCTTGCGTTTCGACGAACTTGGTGTACTCGAATAGGCACGTTTAAATTTTTTGGGCGCTGCTACGAGCAAACCTTCAAAATGTGAATTCGTAGAGCTGGTGAAATCGTAGCCGCGTTGTTTGGGCGGTGGTGTGGACGCTGTGGATTCTTCCTCCGATAAACGTAGTTGAATGATCGGTACGTTGATGTAGGGCTTTGCACGGTCATCGCCATGTATGCCCGAAAAGTTGGAAGAAGCTCGTTTATCTTTTGATAAATTCTGTGTCGATACACAATTCTCGTTTGAGGCTTTGGCGGGAAGTTTTGTGGTTTTGCTTGTTTTTCCATTATTTTTTAAGACTTCTTCAACCGCACTCGTATTGGACTTATTTCGAGGCATATTCAGTCTGATCTCCTGTATCGATGGACGTGTGGGATTACGGTAATTTGATTTTTTAAAAGTTGGCATTATTTTAAATTAATAAAAATATATTTTATTCGTTTATTTGGATATTCGTTTCTATTTTTTTTTTACAAATTTTTACGCAAATTTAAAAATAAAAAATTTTCTTTTTCGACAATTTGATTTCTTCTCATTCCAAAGAAAAAGTTTCATGATAGAAAATTATTATATTTTATCAGCTGTTTAGATGCAAAAGCTGTAGGCAAACCGAGAGACCTAGGTACTTAATCCAATTAGCAGGATCTCAATATTTACCTTCCTATCTTCCCACCAAAGTCGGGTTAGACTGAACTGGTTGATTTTTTGGAGAGTCTCACTTAGACGATATCATGTTGAGAGTCTTACCAGCATATCCGATCATAGCTTTACTGCTGTACTGCTATACTTCCACCACCATTCCCGAGTACTTAGTGCTCGAGATAGGTGGTACCTTCCATCGTTTCATGCTCGAGTGCCAAGGATTGTCAAATACTTAACGAAATGACGTCTATGTGCGTGACTGCCCCTCCTTTCAAAGTCATCAGCATTCCATTGACTGAGTGAGTTCAAAGGAGAGCTTATAACACTCTTCTCTGTGGTGGTACTGTTCTGTCTGCGGGTTATTATGCGAAATCTCCTGAGATAACAGGGTTGACTTTTATACATTCCAGCCCATCCATTAAGGTTTCTTTAAAGACGTTATTAAAGTCTCTAAATATGCCTCGTAAGAAGCCTGCAGCATATTTTTAAAGGCGATCCTAATTCGTAGGGCTGTGTGTGAACTGACTTATCCTTTGTATAGGAGGGCTGTGCTTATAGAAATCTTATAAGTGATTTCACATATAAGGAAGGAATTAAGTTAAGCCTATTGAGTGGAAGATTTTTGGCTGCATATTCCCTGTCCCTCCTGTCTAGAGCAGGAGGGAATGTCGTCATAGAATGGAGATATGTAGCTTTATCTAAACATTTTTCATATCTCCGGCTTTACCAACCATGACCGAGAAAAAAAAATCATCCTTGCCTGGCGATATATAATCCTAGAAGATCTGTATTGCCTCTATAATTTTTTCCGCTACAACTAATTTACATATACTTTTCTTTCCCGAACGGGTTCAGAGCGCACACAATCTCCTAGTAACGGGCTTGAGAGTATGCATTTAGAAAGATTTAATTTTTAAAACTGTTTTCTAATTGTTAAAGTTTTCAGTAAAATATTTCATGCAACCCTACAAAATGATACACTCTTTTCAACACTAGTGAGATTGCACGCAACCCTGACGAGCCGAATGACCATTCGTCGTAAACGAACACTGTGCAGATGAAATTTTTATTGCAAATGGTGGTGACGGACACGATCCTATACTTGCGCACGGATTTTTCACATTCAATTTTGCTTTAAAATTTTCGTAAATTTGTTGTGTGCGTTCGTTGCACAATAATAGAACTAAATGTTTATAAACAACAGCAAGTGTTTGTGAATTATATAGAAATTCGAACGCATAAACGGTGAGTGTAGAAGCCAGCAAGAAGAATGTACACCACCGATGTGAAAAAATATACACATCAAAAAGTGGAAAAATTTGGAAAAAAAATTCCGCACGAAGCATTTACCGTGGCGAAGTGAAAATATGTTTTTCTTATTCAGTTTACAGCATAAATAGTTTTCCATATAAATGTTTGGTATTTAGCAAAGCCGAAATAAAATTAATAGAATACAATATTGCTGTTGCTAAATTTTGCTGGTGGAAGGGAAAATTCCTGTTCGTTGTTTGTCTTATTGAAGTGGCGAGCGGTTGCAGTTGATGGGTCAGTGTACAAAATCGCTGGTCGGTAGCGGCGGGCGCATATAAAAAGAAAGTGTAGAGAAATTTTTACTGATGAAAAGGGCTTTAGAGAATCCATAAAATTATTAATAATTATAATAATTTTGGCCAAACCAATAAAAAAAAGTATAGAGTACATTGTGTAATAATTTTCTGATAGATAGTTAACAATGTTCGCAATGATTTTGCTTTATTGTAGAAAAAGCGCGCCATTATGTGACGTAGGCAGGTTTAACCCTTAAACACCTGATGTGGTCATATTTACACATAACAAAATATTGAAATACGAATAATATTTTGTATTATCACAAAAAAGCTTCATGTGGATATGGATTTTAGAAAAAAATTTGTTATTAAATTCCATATACTTGAATATTGTAGTTCATGATGTAACTATTATTAAAAATATTTATTGTTATTTTTGTTGTCTTTACAATTATTTAACTAAAACGAATTAATTATTATGTTTTGGTTGGTTTTATTTTAACATGATTTACAATTTGCCATAAGTACACGTTCGTCAAAACGTAACACGAGCATTCATTAACTTTTTTTTTTAGTGGTGTTTAGTACATTCATACATCCAACAAATACAAACCCACAAACAAACGAAACTTTATGCCGCAAAGTAGCAGCAGACAACAAAATAATACACCAAATTTTGTTTTGCTATTCGGTTTCGCATTTTTTGTACACTCCTCCGTCACTTGTCTATTCATCTTTTTTCAGCAATTTATACATTTCTGTCGTTCGTTGTATGTTTATGAATGTGTGATGCGGTGATGACGTGTTGTATCAACGGGCGCGATACTCTTTCGTTGTCGTTGATGAGTTTACCATTTGTACGGGGATTTTATATAAGTTCTTTCTCTGCACACATTTTTACCTGTGCTTATGACCAATTAATCAAACACATATTTATTTCATATATCTTCGCATATTAATGGTGGACAATAGTTGGAGAATCTGAAAATACGCTGCTGATTAGTATTAAGGGGATTGTGGGCGAAAATAATTTGTGCAATCAAAATAAACAATTTTTAGTAATGAATTTTTGTTTTTATTATAAAGGAAGTTGTTTAAAAAAAAACGTAATATTTGTTTTCTGTAAGCTTGTAGAGTTTTTCTGGAGAGTTGTTTTAAATAAAATTTCTTAAGAAATTAATTCTATATTAACTTAAAAAATGGTTTTGGTTTCATTTACTCTGTCTGTCTTATGTGTGACTATGTTAAATACAACGCTGATGAGATAATAAAAATTAATGATTAATTTATGAAATATCTATAGGGTTTTATTTCAAAAACAATTTTATCCTTTGTCTTATATGAAATTTAATTTTTTCTACGCCAATCAAAAATAAATTCAAGCAGCATACTTGTTTATTGGTTAATTATTTATAGGTTGTAATCAGCATTCTTACTAAAACATTTTTTTTATATGCATTTGTAAAATTGCAAAATTTTATAATGGACAAAAAAGTCTTAATACATTTCATTGACGATGCATTACAAATGCCACTTTAACTTTAGAATTAAACTCCACTTGTTTGCTCCAACATATTTAAATATGTATATTCATGTTTATGGCCTTTCCAGTAAATTGTTTATTGGAAGATCATCAGCATTCGAAAAAATCGATTTTGAGCTATTCTTAAATTACTAAAATTCTTCACCCTTCTAAAACTTCAGTTAAAAAATTTTCTCTTGTTCAGTTAGTTTTCTAGCGATTTCATCAACAATTTAGATTTTTTTTTTTAATAAATTCTTAACTTAAAGTCACAACTGACCCTCTTCGATAAATTCTGAAACGCTTGCACTTGAAGTACACCCCAACCAACAAGTTCGAATTCTGAAAGGCATCTGATTTAAAAGCGATTCAATAGCAATGTTATCCACTTCTTTTCCACATTGTATTTGCCCTCTCATTTTTGAGTTGTTTGTATTTGCGCCTTTACCGGTGGTGGTGTAGCGATGATACTCTTCGTGGGCAGGTTTTTCTTATACGACGACGACGACGACGATACTAGCGACGGTGACTGCGTTGTGCGTTCGTATATGCATGTAGATGGTTTTTAAAACACTCCGATTTCACTCATATCTTATATGTTTAGGTAGGTGTAATTGTGCTTTGTCTATTATTTAAATATTTGTTTAGCTTAGCTGTAGCTCTTTAAACCATACATATGAGTGGTTATGTGGTGCTCGTCGAGAATCTCTGTTGCGCCGGTGGTTGGTTGCTCGGTTGGTCATTGTAATTGGAGCGTTTGGTTATTATCGCTCTCTTAATAAAAAGAAAATATACTCAAATTTTACTATTTTGTTTATAATTATTTTTCATTTTTTTTTTTAATATCTGGCAAGTGCTTGTGGAGCACACTAAATTTTTATTGACAGAAAAATTAATGTTTTTTTTTATTAGATTTGATTGAGTGCGCTCGGTGCCATTCTTTTCATTCTCGCACCTCTTGACATACACTGCTTTTATACATTCTCTGCTTATACCTTATTCAAGGTCATAGTTCCAACTACATTTTTTATTGTTTTTTTGCCACTCTTATCTTTTGTTTAAACTTTGCTTGATTATCTGCACTCGCTTGAGTTGGAAATGTCACAACTCTTTGCTACAGGCTTTATTGGTGCACACCAGGAGACTTTTATGCTTTTCACTTTGAGTGCTTGCCACTGACTGTCGCGTATTGCTTATTGGCTAGCATTTTATATACTCATTAAAAGAAAAATTTCAAAAACAATAATTTGTACCTTTTATCAAATTCGCTCATTTAATGTGCGCGCTCGCTCTGTGCTCTTTAGTGAACAATTTGTGCGTTTGCAATGATTACGGTAATTACAATTTATTAAGTAATAAAAGAAAAAAAAATTAATTAACTTATTTTTTTTTTAATTAAAGTAGAAAGCAAAACGGAAGTAATGTATTCAAAATGTAAATCATTAATAAACACTATTATAGTAATAGAAAAATTATTATATTATTTTATTATTATTATTTAATATATTAGTATTTTTAATGTTATTACTATTTTAATTTTTATTCTTTTAATTCAATATTATTGTTATATATATAATAATTATTTTTTATTCTATTATTATTATTATCATTATTTTTACTATCATAATTTTTTTATTATTATGAAATTTTTATTAACATTTTTATTATATTTATGATTATTTTTTTTTTTTTAATTTTTATTATTATATTTGTTATTTTTATCATTGTTATATTTATTATTATTATTATTGTTATATTTATTAGTTTTATTATTATTATATTTATTATTATTATTATTATTGTATAATTTATTATTATTATTATTATTATATTTATTATGATTATTGTTATTACTAGTGTTACTATTATTATTACTATTAATATTATTATTATTATTGTTGTTATTAATATTATTAAATTTGTTATTTTTTTATTTACTATATTTATTATTATTACTATTATTAATAGTGCTATAAATATAATAATTTGTGTTAGTATTATTATTATTGTTATTAATGTTTTTTTTGTTATTATTATTATTATTGCTATTAATGTTTTTTTGTTATTATTATTATTATTGTTATTAATGTTTTTTTGTTATTATTATTATTATTGTTATTAATGTTTTTTTAATTACTATTAATATTATTATTATTAAAGTTGTTATTATTATTATTATTTTTAATATTATTATTATTAAAGTTGTTATTATTATTATTATTTTTAATATTATTATTATTATTTGTATACTATTATTATTATTATTATTATTATTATTATAATTTTTCTTATTATTTTTGTATTATTATGATGCTGAAGATAGTAGCCAGAAAAACGAAACAGCTTAAGATATCCTATATGTTAGGAAAAAGCCGTGGGCTATAAGTAGCGTGTAACTTCGCTTCAAAAATCGCCCAACCTACGAAGAAGTAAACATGTTAGATGGAGAAGGATTGCGAGAAATCCCGAAAGTCATCTTGAGGCTTTAGCACGTAGAGGCGGAGGTTCAACCCGTCCCCGCGTAGAATCAAGATCGTTATAGTGAAGGTTCTGTATAAAAACATGGCTCCTTTGCCGGGAGCTATCTCAGCTTAGAGAAGAGCAACAACTACTTTACCTCGAAACAAATTAAACGTCTTACTAGCACTTCAACCGATTAAAATTAATCTTTAATTTTTATTATTATCATCTTGCTCAATAATCATTACAATTAATAAATTAAGATAAAAATTTTACTGCTCTTCAAAAAGTAAAAAAATATTAAATTTAATAAAATATTTTTCTAATTTAATTTTTGCAGTTCAGAAACGCATTAAAGGGATTGTAAAGTGCTTACGATTTTTTGAATCGTAAATTAACACAACAATAACAAAATGGCAGCTAACAACAATCTGAACATGCACAGTATATCTCCACAACACATGTCCACTCTAAATGCCGGGCTAATGCCACAATCGGTTATTGCATCTACAGGCAGTGTTAACCCTATGATCGGCATGCCCACAATGCCTCAACCATCGAGTAGTGCACAAAGTGCTTGGGACCAATTGACTGCTTCCTCATCATCGTCAATCAATACAAATGTACTAAATAGCGCCACACCAACAACAAATATCATTACCGGTGGTGGTGGTGGTGGTGGTGGTGGAGGTGTAGTTGGTGGTGTTGGTGCTGTGAGCTTGGGCATTGGCAACACAAACAACATTGGAACCTTACAAAACATGCCATTAACAAATAACAACATAATTAGTGGAACTGTTGGTATGGCAAATACCGCAAATAGCGCAGTTGCTACGGCTGGTATGACTATAGGCATTGAACCAAATGGTCTTGGTATTGGTAATATTTCTGGTGGTAGCTCGCCAGCGGCCATTTGCACTTCCCCATCGACACCAACCAAATCGGGTGCTCCACCGCTAGATGCTGTTATGGCACACACGCCCACCCAGGGCGCACCGGCTATGCATAGTGCTGGGTATGGTGAGGAATTGACAGCAGAACTTGTTAATCAGGGTTGGCGTAAATTTTGGTCTAAACGTGAGAATCGTCCTTATTACTGGAATAAAATTACTGGCGAATCATTGTGGGAAATGCCGGGAGCACGTCCATTTGATCCACTTACAGATCCCTTGGGTATGTTTTTGGCGTATTGAATGAATGCTTGAAAATATTAAAATTCTCAAATATTTCTTTTCAATATTTTTTTTTTTCTCAACATTAAGGTATTTGTCACAGTGGTACTCAACCGCCCATAAACCCAGGTGGCGGTATGCCACATCATGCGCATCATATGCAACATCCAAATTTAAAGCGTCGCCCATCGGACGATATGCATCTGCATCCACATCAACAGCATCCGCCATTGAAAAAGTTTGTACTAACTGGTCCCTGGGACCTGGAGATATGCACCAATGCTGTTATAGTGGAGAGACCGCCTACGCTATTACCACAACCGCATCCGGAAATTGAAGCTTTACGTGCCGCCTACACTGGGAAGCTGGTAAAGACTTATGAAGATCTCTGTATGCGACGTGAAAACATTAAAGCGCCAAAAGACTCATTCAATCGTTGGCTTATGGAGCGTAAAGTAATTGACAATGGCTGCGATCCGCTGCTACCGAGCAATTGCAGTCCAGAGATATCACCATCAATGTATAGGGAAATAATGGCGGATATACCGATTAAAATTGTCAAACCGAAGTTTACAGGTATGCACCGTTATATAATACCTCATATATTAATAATTTATTTTATATTAACTGCTTACCGCAGGCGATGCACGCAAACAGCTTTCACGTTATGCCGAAGCGGCTAAACAAATTATCGAATCACGTTCTGCGCCAGCCGAAAGTAAAAAGGTCGTCAAATGGAATGTTGAAGATACATTCCAATGGTTGCGACGCACCGTCGGTGCGAGTTATGAAGATTTTCAAGATCGTTTGGCACACTTGAAGCGTCAATGTGAGCCACATCTTGTGAAGACCGTAAAAAGTTCCGTAGAAGCACTCTGTATAAAAATCTATCATCTAAGTGCTGAACATGCACGTAAAATACGTGAACGACACATGTTACTGCTCAAAGAGCACGGCATACCGGAGCCAACCCCACCACCACCACCACCGCACCTAAAGAAGGTGTGGTGTTATCCTATACAGTTTGCTGTGCCATCACCACGTATGCCAGCTATCGAATATGTACAGGATCGTGATCACATGATTATTAAGTATACGCCCAGCACACTCAACCAACCGGATGCGCAATATATTAATTTAACACATTTACAAAAACTTGAACAATTGTATCGACACAATTGTTTTGATGATAAGAAATTCGATTTATTCATTGGACGTGTTTGGTGTCTGCTTAAGCGCTACCAGACGTTTCTCGGCAATGCGTTAAATTCGTCACAGGAGGCAGAAATGACACAGGCCTCGCTACCTGTGCCGGTATTCGAATGTTTACATAGACATTTTGGTGTGAGTTTTGAATGTTTCGCATCACCGTTCAATTCATACTTCCGGCAATATTGTTCTGCGTTCGCCGACACCGACGCGTATTTCGGTTCACGGGGGTGAGTAGCAGCGAACTGTTTGTTGATTTTTCAGAAGTATTTAATAAATATATTTATTTATATTTCTGCTTCCATGCAGGCCGTTTCTTGAGTTCAAACCAGTGTCTGGCTCTTTCCAAGTTAATCCACCACATTGCGAGGAACTCATTGACAGAGCTTTGTATCATATAGATAAATTACTCACCGATTCAATGGAGCCACTGAGGTAAAATTATAATTAAAAATTACTGTAAAAAATATAAATAATAATAACTGTTCGTAATAACAGCTTCATCATATTCTTGCCGGAATGGAAGAGCATTGCAAAGCTAGAGGAGAGCATGTTTAAGCGTCGCTCTATGGTAGTATTGGGCATGGCACATGAGTATCGGCACGGCTACCAACACATTATACCAAAGTAGGTGCACCCTCAACATTTTCGACTTGCATATAAATTAATTTTATTTGTTATTTTCATTTTTTACTTTACAGAACCGATGTAAATGTAAAATGTATGCAGGGCACACAAGTTGTTTGGTTACAAAATAGCGCCGGTCAAGCGCGCTGGGGTCCCAATGAGAATCGTGTCGAGGCATTACGTGAAGCATTCCGACCACAACGCGATCGTGAGCGCGAACGTGCCGCCGCAGCTGCAGCCTCAACTGCATCATCACCGACCCAGTCGGCAACACATCAAGCCAGCGCCTCTCATAATATCGGTAATAGTGGTAGTAGCAGTGGCAGCAGTACCCCCAGTAGCAGTAATAGTCTTGGCATCAACAACAATATCAATACAAATGCCAGCACTTCAGCGGCATCAGCGTCGTTAGTTGGTATGCCTACATCTGCTTTAAATGCCAATATAACTGGCAATATCAACATTTCCGGCAGTAGCAATAACAGCTTAGTTCAATCGCCAACTGGTGCACCACTCTCACCACACACACCACCAAATATGGCTACATCATCGAGCGGTGGTTCGCCTGCCATGAGCAATCAAAGCGCGTGTTCGTCGCCTTCATCCTCTTCCATGTCACTATCACCAGCTGCGTCAAGCGGCATTGGTCTCTCTGATGTTGTTGGCAGCACTTCGGTATCGATTACAGCTACAGCGACGACAACAGGTGGTGCATTTGCGAGTCTTGTGGCAGCCTCGTCACCGGCTGGCAATATGGGTACGGGTGGCAGTGCTATTAGCACTAATGCCGGTCATACTGTGATCAATTCCGCAGTTTAAATGTGCACAGGAAGTGTCATTTTAAGAATTGGCTAAGAAATTTACACGGAAGTGTAAAAAAAAACCGATGGTAGATATTGTTTTTGAGTCTAAAATCTGATTAAGGGATTCTAAATAATGTTTACAGTATGGTATATTCGCCAAGTTTGCTCGTTTCAATGCATAAAGATGTATAGGTCGTCGACGCGCATGCGACCGTTAAGCGCATTGCAATTTTAATGTAGTCTATTTATTTAAGCGAAATAGTGAAATGTGTATTTTATAGGTAATGAAAAAACGATTAAGAATTATAGTGTTAGTTTGCAGCAAAAGTAAAGCGGAAGAAGAAAAGAAAAGAAAAAAAACAAATAATGCTAAAGAATTTAATTCTTTTTTAACACAACAAACACAAATATTTACACTAATAAGTGCATATACTACACTATTTCTATAAATTTTTATAATGTACATACATACATACAAACATACCCAAAATATACTTTATTACTATACAAAAAAAAAAAAGAAATAAAAACTAGCGCAACTGCTGCGCTAAGTAAGCAGATAAATGCAATTTCTACTTGTACAATCATGTATATTTTTCTCTGCAATTTTTATGTAATCTTATTTAAACACATAAATACATTAAAAAAGAGTACTTGCTAAAAAAAAAAAAATGAGAATTAATACAGTTACTGTTTTTATGTGACTATTAATTTTATTTAATTTTTTTATTTTTGAAATTAATCCTAAGTTAACTTAAACGCTTTAAGCTACAAAATTTAATCTTTTTTTTGTAAACAAAGAGTGCATAATTATAAATGTAAAATGCAATATTTTCTAAAAATTTTGTTTTAATTTTGACGGGGGGCGTTTTTAAGAGCATAACTTTTGTACTTTCTACAAAGTAAGTTCTACAAAGTAGCGAAATTTCAAAACCGTATAATAATAAAAGAAGAAAAAAAAAAACAAATAGAAAATAGTTGATGCGGCATGTTACAGCCACAAATAGAATAATTACAAAAGTTATATAAAAAAAAATCAGCAGACACCTTAAATTGTCCTTAAGCCTTAAGAACGTTGAATAAAAATAAAAAAAAATATTAGTAGATTACAGTCTAAAAATGCAAGTTTATCTCCTTTATTTATTGGACATTTTATTTTTTACTCATGCATTACAAATTGAACGGAAAACAAGCGAAAAAGCTAATGTTAGTAAAAAGCTAAATTCGTAAAAGAAAACTATAACACTGCAAGTTGTTCGAAGTATCGTGCGCTGCAAAATTTTTATAAATTTTTTTTACAAATAAAATTGTCTACATGCATTTAGTGCAACATAAAATTTTCAATATATTTTTTAAAATAAATTTTTATATTTTTTTTTGTTATAAGAAATTTTAAAATTTTTTTATCATAATTTATATTTATTTTTTTTATAAAATTTTTATGTTTTTTTTAATAATAAATTTTTATATTTTTTATAATTTTTTTTTTAAATAAACTGAAAAAAAAATTTTTATAATAATAAATTTAAATATTTTTTTATAATAAATTTTTTTTTGTAATAAATTTTTAATTTTAAAATTAAATTTAAAAATTTTTGTGTTTTTATAATAAATTAAATTTTTTTTTTTGATAATAAATTTAAATATTTTTTTTTTAATAAATTTTTAAATTTAAATATTTTTAATTTTTTTTTGTTATAAGAAATTTTAAAATTTTTTTATCATAATTTGTATTTATTTTTTTTATAAAATTTTAATATTTTTTTTATAATAAATTTTTAAATTTTTTTGTAAAAATTTTTATATTTTTTATAATTTTTTTTTAAATAAATTGAACAAAAAATTTTTATAATAATAATTTTAAATATTTTTTTATAATAACTTTTTAAATTTAAATTTTTTTTGTAATAAATTTTTTATTTTAAAATTAAATTTAAACATTTTTATATGTTTTTATAATAAATTAAAAAAAAAATTTTTTTGATAATAAATTTAAATATTTTTTTTAATAAATTTTTAAATTTAAATATTTTTTATAATATATTTTTAAATATTTTTGCTTTAATGAAATTTTATATATTTTTATAATAAATTTTGTTTGTAATAAATTATTATATTTTTTTTTGTAATAAATTTTTATATATTTTTTTGTAATAAATTTTTATATTTTTTTTTTGTAATAATTTTTTATATTTTTTTTATAATAAAATTTTATATTTTCTTTTCATAATAAATTTTTATTTTTTTTTTATATAATAAATATTAATTTTTTTTATAATAGATTATTAATTATGCTAATGAGGATCGAAAAGTAAAGAATAAAAATGTACAAAGCTTAATTTTAAAATTGGCATGCGAAATATAATATTATTCATAATGAAATAAAAAAATATATAATTTAAGCTTAAACTCAACTACAATTAGCATAATAAGTGGTGTAGACTGCGCAAAAAAATTTTATGAGAGATAAACTAAAACTTGCGTGAAATTATTTATAATAAGCTAAATGAAAAACTAAAAAACAATAAAATAAAAATACTAATTACTTCATTTACATACTGTAATTACTAAAAAAAAACTAATAAAATAAAAAACTATAATTAAAAATTTTCCAAATGTCATAAAATTGCCTTTCCTTCGTTTATTTTTAATCACCCCGTAGCAATAGCGTTAACACCAATGTGAAGATAATATTACAAAAAATAAATTTAAAAAAAACCAATAAAACATGTTTAGATGTATACAAACACATATATGTATGTAATGGATGTATTACAAATTCCTAGGGATGGCGTATATAATTCTGTGTAGAAACATGCCTAAAAAATACATCAAAGCATACATAGTTTATGTTGTTGTTGTTGTAGCGATTATTTGCAGTTGCTCTCTTTTCACAGTTGACTTATGAAAACCCTTTATACATATGATTATAAATTTGTCTTAGTATTTTATATAAATAAACTTTATTTTTTAATAAATTATAAAAAAAAAATTAGGCTCAAAAAATGCTCCGCTACTTTGGTGCGAATTAAAAAAAAAAATAAATAAAAAATCTTTTTTCGAAATATTTTTTTTTTTATAAATTGCCTTTGCTGTTAATTCATCAATTAAAAATTTATTTATTGTTTTTGAAAAGCAAAACAAAACGCTTTTTTATTTAATTTTTTTTTCGGATTACTAACAATTTTTTCACTTTTTATGAATTTTGTTTTAAATCAAGGTGCTTAACAAAAGCTATTCTTCCACAAACACACATACACACATAAAATCATTTCAACTTCATACTTTTAACGCCCAAACTAACCGGTATGCATACCTACTACATATATATGTACATATATGCACTACCTTACATAAATACTTAATTACATACAAAGTTGTATAAATATTAGCAAAATTTGTTGTTATTAAGCTAATGCACTCACACATAATAACTGAAAATTAATAAAAAAAAAACATTTTTATGCTAAACTGTTTGTTAAAAAAAACAGCAATAAAAATATATGTATAAAAATCTAGAAGTTTAACAATAAATTGTTAACATTTTATTGAATTATAGCTAAACATAAAAAAGAAAACACAATAAACGGGGAAAATGTGTAGTTCAAACTACTTGTGTGTGTGTACTCAATCGGAATGTGGCTTTTCCCCCTAAGTATCGTAAGGAAATTAAAGCCTTTGAGTTTGTTTTAAGATTTTTTGAATTTTTTCCAATACAGTTTATTATAATATTTACTTAGTAATATAACTTTTAGACCAATAGAAACCATTTAATAATTTCATACATTTTTATTATTTATTGATGATATTTTTGTAATTATAAATATATTTTTCGTAGACAATTTTATAACAAAATTTATTTTTTTAACTTATTGTAAAGCACACGAATGCACAAACGCGCTTGCCAATACAGACTGTTGAAAAAATATAAAGGGTTCATATTAAAATATAAATACGGCTGAGATTTAACAGAATCATAATAAAACTTTAATTTCGAATTACTTGCTTATATTTTACATAAATATACATACACATAGCTTAATGAAAAATCTAAATATCATTTCAAAAAAAAAAAAAAAAAAAAAAAACCAAACGACACTGAACTAAATATATGTATTTTTTATTGCTCCGCTTAATTACTAAAATTGCAAGATAAACCATGTTACGCCAGTAGACTTTAAACGGCATAATACTTTTAATATTTACGTTTTTCACTTATGTTCATGCCACCAACAGTGCGATTCACTCACTTGCACAAATATACATACATATGTGTGTTCTCCATTAGTAAGTGTGCATTTGTTGTTATAGAAGTTAACTTAAAGCAAGCAGTTTTATCAACTTTTTTAACTTATAATCTAATCTGCTGGTTTTAATTTTAAGCATTTTCCATAAAGCAGCAGCGACAGCAAAATGGAGAGTAGAACAAAGACTTCTACATGATTTCTAAACTTGAATCACTATTTTTGGTAACCACTTCTGTTTCAGATGAACCTGAACCGGAGCCCGCATCATCAACTTTTTCTATATCATCTGATTGTGAAAGACGTGTATGATGATGATGTGTTGTAGCTGCTAGTTGCCATGCGGGAATCGAAGGAGGACCGGCAGTTAAGGGTGCAGCAAACTGTTTACTAAAAGAAAACAAAAAATTAAATATATTAAAAGTTTTATATTAATTGCTTGTATGTTTGTATACATACCGGTTGAGCAATAAACCTTTTATAGCCTCTAAATCACTTCGAAAAACATTGAATTCTTGATTTAAACTCTGACGCTGCTCACGCTGTTGTTCCTGCATTTGTTCCTTTATGGTTGTTAATTCAACACTTACAGCTTCTAGGCGCGTATCAACCTTTCTATCGATATCCGCCAGTGCTTCATCTACAGTTTTCTTCTTTTTCTTTCCGAAGAGGAAAGGCTCTACATATTTCTGTAAATATTCAATTACACATGTGGCTAAGTATGCTGTTGTCTATTTAATTAGTGCGTAAACTCTTCTACGAACCTTCCAGAATATATAAATTGCATACGCAACACCACTAATAAGCGCTAAATTATGTAAAACTTCTTTGATACGTCCGTAAGCCGATTGTCGCGGCTGTAAAACTAATTGCGTATGTGTTGAACCACTACTGCCCATATTGATTAGGGTAGGGATGTTAGGGTCTTCTGTAAACACGCCAGCTCGTTGGCAAGCCAACTCAATTTCTGTGTTGGTTAAACCTTTGGATTGTAAAAATTGTCGTTTTTGCATCAATGTTGTGTGCCGTACTTTGGCATTTTGTAAGAAGTTAACTGCAGTCGTTATCTAAGAAGGGAAGAATGGTTTTACTATACTCAAAACAACTAGTTTTTGCAATTAAGTCAAATATAATTGCACTTTGAGCTTATGCATTTTACGCCCCTTACCAAAGTTTCGCGAGGAGGCTCTATGCCAAAAGAATCATTTTGCCCATTTTGTATTTCTGTTGTTGAAGCAATAATTGTGGTGTCACCCGTGTCCGTATTGCTGGTTGACATAATTTCGACTTGTAATTTAATCTTGATAAAATGTTTACTACTCACACACGCACTTTGCTTATCAGTTATTTATTTTTTTAAGAAAAATTTTCGGTCTTCCAAGAGATTCTGTAAGATGGAGAATGATAAATAAATACAGAAACAAATAGCCAAAGATCCAGACGTGTATAGCAATTATTACATTGCAGTGATATCGGCGTATGTAGTTTTAAAAGTAAATTAGAGAAATTCAAGGCACAAAAAAAACTGTAATAAACTAAACTGAAAAGAAAACTTAGTAAAGATTATCGAAAACATACGATGCGAAGAATTACAGGGCTTCACCAATATTCTAAATTTTCTGTCAGTTTTACATCTTTTTCAGACAATTATTAGTGATGCACGATGCGAAGAGATACAGTTTGCCTCTGTGGGTTGGCAGCTCAAGAATTTATCAGTTGTAAGGCATGCTTGTAGTAAGAGGCGACAAAAATCCAGTAGTAATCTATTGGAAATTCGGGCATCAGTTTTAAATAGTTAAAAAAAAATTATTAAAAATTTCGAAATATTTAATCTACATAACACTCTGTACCAAAAACAAAACAAAGCAATTAGATGAAATAGACAGACAAAAAGTTACAATTAAAAAATATATACGTGTAGGGAAAAACTGGTGAACAATTGTGGATAGGAGAAACTGCAACAAAAAATTTCTCAAGAGAAATTTACAAGAAAACTACATTTAAAATTTATTAAAACTACAGAAATACAACAATTAGTTTATTTTTTAGATAAATATTATTGAGTTGCAATAATATAGACCAGTTGGAAGTTTGAAAGCAGTGCTTAAAAACACTGCAATACGCAAGCAAAAAAACAAAAAAAAGAAAAAGAACGAAGTGAGAAGTGAAAAAGTAATGGCTTGTGCAGCAGCAAATTCTGGCAAAGAATCGACGGCTGCAGTAAATGGTTCAAATGGCAATACAAGTGTGATTGGAGCAGGAAATGTTGCAAATACAAATACCGTTGGGGCAGCTGGATTAGTAAATAGTGCAGGTGGCAGCAACACGATTACTGGTGCGTCTACTGCAGGTGGTGGCGGTGGTGGTGGTGTGGTCGGTGTAACTGGGAGTGTCAGTGCTGGCAGCAGTGTAGGTGGGGCAGGTAATGGCGTTACCGGAGGTAATGGTGTTGCAGGAAGCAGTGGCACAACAGCTAGTGGCACCGGCAATTCCAATGCCAATAGACAGGCACGTTTCGCTATGGAAGGTGTAGGAGCAAGAGTAATACGTGGTCCGGATTGGAAATGGGGCAAGCAGGTAAAGTGATTGAAAAACTAAAATTTAGACGAAAAAATCGCTAGTGCAAGTTTATATAAAATGAATTAGGCAATATAGTTTACGGGGATTTCGGCAGAAGAATATCTTTACATATATTTTTTTTTACTCAATTTGATTGATACACGCAATATTTTTTTTATTTATTATTATTTACAATTGGGGATGTTTAACTGCAATTGGAAAATAGTTTTCATAACTTATTTTAGACTCGTGCAAGGAATTAAATTGGAATGTATGTACATATGAGCATGCCTACATTCATACATACATTTATATACGTCGCTTTTGTGTAAAGCTATAAAAATTTGTTTCATTCGCTTTAGATGCAGTTTAAGTTAAATAACTTTTTATAATTGGTAGCGCTAGAGGGCAAATTTCAACAGTTTTAAGTGGCGAATTGTATGTCATCACTAAAAAATAGCGAACCGCTACAACAACAACAACAACAACTAAAAATATACTTATATTATATATGTATGTACGTATTTATATGTACATAAATATAAGTATGTATGATATTTTTATTTTAATATAAAATTAAGTGATTTGAAAACATATTTATGAATACATATGTGGAATTTGAAATATATGAAAAAAATTACAACATCTCCACTGATGAATGTGATCTATTCACTATTTACTATTTGTACTGTTATATTTCGTAGTTTGCTGAAATAGATAGCTGAAAAAAATAACTCAAAACATCGCAGGTGGAATTGGAAAGATGCATTTGTACATAAATCGTTAAATTATAAGTTAACCACGTGACTCATTATTGTAAATATAACCGAATCGAACCCTCACCTTTCGAAGTCTAGCTTTTATAGTAAACTTTTTTTTAGTAACATTGTATATTTACTAATTGCGTTTCTGCGCTTGAGCAGAACGTTATCAATTAGCGAAGTGTAACATTTGACCCAACTGTTTAATCTACTCATTTTGGAATTTACATTAAATGCCAATTCCTGCCTATTTTGATTTAAACAATGAAATTACATAAATTTAAATATAAACATTATATTTGAGCAATCAATCATGTGTGTAAAAATATGTATGTATATTTTGTATACAGTAGTAATCATATAAATGTTAACAAAAAATTATTATTTATATTTATAACTGCATCTATTAGACGGCGACCGTAATGGCTGAGTGGTTGCAGGGGATTGGGTCCTGGTCCTGCCAACATCAAAAATTATAGAAAATTCAAAAAAAAATGATTCCCGCGGCAGTCGAGTCTTTATAACGGATTTTTATACTGCCAAGAACTGTCACTTTTGCAAAATTCCCCGAAAACCAGATTGGGAAATACTCTGCAGTTACAACAACAACAAATTAAAATTAAAGTTTAAAAAATATATATTTAAATGCTTTGTTGTTGTTGTAGCGGTTCGCTAAACCCGCTTAGGCACAGGTTTGTTCAGTCTAAGTCGCCGAGGTCATCTAGTGGTATCAGAAGGACTTGGAGCAACCCAGCTGCGAGGTGTTGCTCCGTTGGCGAACTTAGACTAAAGTTACCTGTAGACCTAAACGGGGTTAGGTCGCCGAATGGGTGACAGCCCTTGGCCGGATATAATCCGGGTCAACTCCGGTGCGTAGAACCGGCTGTCGTGAGAGTTAAATGCTTCATGAAATGCAGTTAACAATAATAATTTATTTTGGAAACTTTTTTGTTTATCAAAATTGTCCACTTAAAAACGTTAAATTACTTTTAGTACAATTTATAAACATTTTATTTTCCTGAACTATTAGTGGGATCCTTTCAATTGGCCGGTATCGTACATTTAATGAATTTTTTGTTTAAATTTATTTTGTAATATTTTACCGTTGTCTTATATACATATTTACATGTATGTATGTGCATTTATTTATTTATTTGTCAAATAATCACAGCTACTGATATAACCTTTCAAGTGGAAAATAAAAATAAAAAAATAAATAAGTACATATGTAGGTACTTCTGTAAAGTACAGCCGATAGCTGCTAACGAGTAGAGACGGATATGTAGGAGCTTACTTATTAGCAGCATTCATTATCTCTCTACAGGCAGGCTAGAGTGATAGACACCCTTCGCTGTTGTCGCATCGTCCAATACATTTCATTTTTCATTTTCCCTACCATTCGAATTTTTGCTATCACTCAGCGAGAAGAGCTCCTCAGTTGACTACGGATTTGGTGAGATACACAACAAATAACGCGAAATTCGCTTTTATGTTTAATTATTTTGTAATTTGAATATCTCAGCATCAACATTTCGGAGCTTAGAATTTAAAAAAAAACAGCTTACAAACCGGTAGTGCCTACATACATATATATTGTACATATTGTTGCTATCAGCGCAATGCGTAAATACAATCACCGCGTTATTATATCTGTATGTGTTGCGACACATTTCTATATATGTACATATGTACTTTATATAATTAATTACATACATATATAGCATTCTGATAAAGTGCATTTGATTATCACTTTCATTTAATTTTTTCTTTATTTTTTCTTAAATTATTTTATTGCCTTCATTTACTTTAGGATGGTGGCGAGGGTCACGTCGGCACCGTACGCAACTTTGAATCTTCCGAGGAGGTCGTTGTCGTTTGGGACAATGGCACCGCCGCCAATTATCGCTGTGCCGGCGCTTATGATCTACGCATATTGGATAGCGCACCGACTGGCATTAAACATGATGGCACAATGTGTGATACCTGCCGTCAGCAGCCGATTTTCGGTATACGTTGGAAGTGTGCCGAATGCATTAACTATGATCTTTGTTCAATTTGTTATCATGGTGATAAACATCATTTGCGTCATCGTTTCTATCGCATTGCCACGCCGGGTGGAGAGCGTATCATGTTGGAGCCGCGGCGTAAATCGAAGAAAGTCGCTGTACGCGGCATATTTCCAGGTGCACGTGTTGTGCGTGGCGTCGATTGGCAATGGGAAGATCAGGATGGTGGTGTTGGTCGACGTGGTAAAGTGAATGAAATACAGGATTGGTCTTCGGCATCGCCGCGTTCAGCCGCCTACGTTGTGTGGGATAATGGCGCAAAGAATTTGTATCGTGTTGGTTTTGAGGGTATGGCCGATTTGAAGGTAATAATATACATTTGCGTAAAATCTTAATTTTCTTCATGCATTGAAATCTATTCTAACGCCTTACAGGTGGTTAACGATGCCAAAGGCAATACGGTATATCGCGATCATTTGCCATTGTTGGGTGAGAATGGTCCCGGCAAAGGGCCACATGGTTTTCAGATTGGTGATAAAGTTACCGTTGATTTGGATTTGGAAATTGTACAATCCTTACAGCATGGACATGGCGGCTGGACCGATGGTATGTTTGAATGCCTTAATAATCCGGGCATAGTAGTGGGCATCGATGAGGATCACGATATTGTGGTTGCATATAATTCCGGTAATCGTTGGACTTTCAATCCAGCTGTATTGACAAAAGTGTCATCCCCAACCACCGCACCACCCGAATTCCAAGTGGGTGATATTGTGAAAATATGCTCCGATGTGGAGAGTATTAAAATGCTGCAACGTGGTCATGGGGAATGGGCAGATGCAATGCAATTGGTGAGTTTGTGCGGAATAAATGTTGATTTTATTTTTTTCTCTTTTCTTTTTTATTTGTTATTTTCTATTGTTTTGTTAGTTTTTTTTTGTTTTTAATTTCGTTATTTTTTTTAATTTGTTATGTATTATTCTTTATTTGATTTATTTGTTATTTTTTAAATACATAAAAAAAATTTATTATTCTTCATATTGATAGTTTATTGTTTTTATTTTATTTGTATATTTATTTTTTATTATTACCTTTTTATTATTGCTATTCTTAACCTTTTTATTTGTAATTTTTCCGTCTATCAGATTATTTATTATTTTTTTATAACTTTTTATTTATATTTTTTCGTTAATTTTATTTTGAAAAAACAATATACCATAAAAAAAATTAATTAAGATTGCCGGGCAAAACATTTTAAAATAATAATAAAAATAGTACAAAAAACAAGTTATTTGTTTTTTGTACTATTTTTATTATTATTTTAAAATGTTTTGCCCGGCAATCTTAATTAATTTTTTTTATGGTATATTGTTTTTTTTTGTTATTTTTTATTTATTTTTTTTTTTTGGTAAATTTACTTAAAATTTTTTTATTCATTGTATACTGTTTTTTTGTTATTTTTCATTTAGTTTTTTTTTTTGTTGTTTTTAATTAAAATTTTTTATTTTTGTTGTTTCTTATTTTTCTTAGTTTTGTATATTATGTTTTTTTTTCTAATTTTTACGTATATTGTTAATTTATTGGTTATATTCATTATTTTTTTGCTATATTTTATTAAGTATTTTTTATAATGCTAATTTTTATCTTCATTTATTTTTCATTTTTTTTAATTTGTTATGTTTTATTTCTTATTTTGTTATCCATTAATATTTTCAAATTGTTTTATTTTTTGTTTTGTTTTTTACTTTTCTATTTGTATATTATTTTACTTTGTTTGTATATTTTATTTTTTAATTGCATATTTTTTTCATTGTCTTTTATTTGATTTGAAATTTTTTATTCTATATATTATTTTAAATTACTGTTTTTAATATTGTTAATTTATTTATTATTGTTGTATTTAATTTTTATCCATTATTTTTTATATTGTTAATTGTTATTTCTTAATTATTTTTATATATTTTTTACTTTATTATTCTTGATATTTTTTTGAATTTGTTGTATTTTATTTCTTATTTTTGATTAATGTTTAATTTATTTTTATTTTTGACTACTTTTAATTTTTTTATTTGAATATTTCATTTAATTTTCTCTTTATATTTTATTTTTGTTTATATTTTAGGTTTTTTAAATTCTTTAGGTTTTTTTAATTTTTTTTTATTATTATTTTTTATTTATTTTTATTTCTATATTTTTTTTTAATATTTTTTTTTTTTTATTTTTAATTTTTTTTATTTCTTTATATTATTTATTTTTTATTTTATTTATTTATTTTTTGTTTTTTTTTTTATTTATTTTTTATTTTTTAATTTATTTTTTATTTTTTCGTATTTTCGTATTTTTTTTTACATTTTTGGCAAATTTGTACGAATTACTAGTTACTTTAATCACATTTTCCGTATATACGTGCAAACACACATTTGTAGATGTTACATTAATCACTCAAGTTACTTATTCTCGTAGACTCTTGGGAAATTGGGCCGTGTGCAGCAAGTTTATCACGATAATGACTTGAAGGTGGAAGTGGGTAATACATCCTGGACTTATAATCCGCTTGCAGTAACTAAAGTGGTATGTATGCACTAGTTAATACGTCGTTATAATATTTTTATTTAATTTTTCTATTTATGTATTTATTTATTTTTTTAGTTTTGCAAATAATCACATTTTATATATTACAGGCTTCAGCTTCCGCTGATGGCAGCTGTGTACCAGTTATTTCTAGTGGCGAACGTTTATCCGCTATACTGAAGAAACTTTTCGAGCCCAATGTGTCAGGCGATGCCACTGAGGAATTTGTTAAGGCCGCCGCCAACGGTTATGCAGTAAGTTGCTTATAAAAAAAAATGTTTGCTACAAGTGTATAAGTTAATATTTTTCCTCCTTCTTTCAATTCCACAGTCTCGTTGTGAGGAATATCTCTCAGGCACGGTGCAGTCGGGTACCACCTCCACCGCTGCAGGTGCCACCGCCGTTGCTGCTGGCGCACAAGGCACCGTGCCCGATGTAAATGGCGTATTCGCCGGACACACCGCACTACAAGCCGCCAGTCAAAATGGACACACTGATGTAATACAGGTTTTATTGCGACACAATGTCGATGTTGAAATCGAAGATAAAGATGGTGATCGTGCAGTGCATCATGCAGCTTTTGGCGATGAACCGGCTGTCATTGAGATACTCTCCAAGGCTGGCGCTGATTTGAATGCACGTAATAAGCGGCGCCAAACAGCGTTGCATATCGCTGTCAATAAGGGACACTTGAATGTAGTGAAAACTTTACTCGCTCTGGGTTGTCATCCGAGTTTACAAGATTCCGAGGGAGATACCCCTTTGCATGATGCCATTTCGAAGGAACATGATGAGATGCTGTCGCTATTGCTCGACTATGGTGCCGACATTACACTAACCAATAATAATGGCTTCAATGCACTACATCATGCTGCGCTCAAGGGCAATCCGAGCGCCATGAAAATATTACTCACAAAAACCAATCGTCCATGGATTGTCGAGGAGAAAAAGGATGATGGTTATACTGCTTTACATTTGGCAGCATTGAATAATCACGTTGAAATTGCTGAATTGCTCGTGCATATGGGCAAAGCTAATATGGATAGGCAAAATGTGAACTTGCAGACGGCGCTACATTTGGCCGTCGAGCGTCAGCATGTGCAAATCGTTAAGTTGCTCGTGCAGGAAGGTGCCAATTTGAACATTCCAGATAAGGATGGTGATACGCCTCTACATGAAGCCTTGCGTCATCATACACTCTCACAGCTCAAACAATTGCAAGATGTGGAGGGTTTCGGCAAGCTGTTAATGGGTCTACGCAATCCGAATAATAAAAAGGCATCCGCCTCGATTGCTTGCTTTTTAGCAGCAAACGGCGCAGATTTAACACTGAAAAATCGTAAACTGCAAACGCCATTGGACTTGTGTCCCGATCCGAATCTATGCAAGACACTCGTCAAATGCTATAATGAACGTAAAACTGATGATACCGATTTGCCGGGTAATGTGGCCGGCACTAGTTTGAATGCACGTGCACGTGCACTTGCTACACCAGCCACTGCTGGCGCTGCTGGTAGTATTGGTGTTAATGGTAGTGTTGGTAATTTGAATTCCTTGCCTGTGGTGTCAAGCGGTGGTAATGGTGGTGGTATGGGTATTGTTGGCATGCCAGCTGGCTTACATCAAACAGTTGGTGGTAATCTGCCATTGAGCACAGTGATGAAAGGTGGCAGTGTTAACAGCGTTGGTAGTAGTAGCGGTGTTGCCGATATACGTAGTGGTAGCGCACCCGCTGGTGGTGGCTTGAACACTTTGGCCAATGATCTGAACCAATCTTTACATGCTGCCAATGAGGCGGTGAAACAGTCAACATTGGAGGAGTGTCTTGTCTGCTCTGATGCCAAGCGCGATACTGTATTTAAGGTAAATAAAACTTAACTTTTTTTCTAATTAATTTAAAAATAATAAAAAATATATTTGTTTACCCTCAACTCTCTGAAATAGCCTTGTGGACACGTTTGCTGCTGTGACACTTGTGCGCCACGCGTTAAAAAATGTCTTATTTGTCGTGAAACAGTCACATCACGTGAGAAAATCGACGAATGTTTGGTTTGCTCCGACCGACGCGCTTCCATATTCTTCCGCCCTTGTGGTCATATGGTCGCTTGCGAGAATTGTTCCAGTTTGATGAAGAAATGTGTGCTCTGTCGCACACAAATCGAAGAAATGTTGCCCTTCTCTTTGTGCTGTGGCGGCGCTGGCATGGCTGAGAAGGTAAGCCCTACATTTTCCTATGTATTTATATAAATCCTTTCTAAAAGTAAATTTGTGTGTTCTTTTTAGGTGCATGGCGTTGGCTATTGCTTGACCGATGATAAATCGAAGGAAATGCACTGTGTTAATACTTCGGGGCATGGTGTTGCCATGAATAATACCGTACCCGGCGCTATGAGCACGCCTGTCGCTGCTGCAAATCAATTAAATAATCAAAATAATATTTTGGCTAACAATGCTGGAGGTGCTGCGGCAACAAGTGCCGCCACCGTTTTGTTGGCACCATCCAATGTCAATAACTTTCAAATGGACGATGTGCAGAAGCTTAAACAGCAGTTACAGGATATTAAGGAACAGGTGGGTTTTTCAATAATTTTTTATTTTCTTTTTGCACAAAAACTCCTCGATCAGGATTATTATACACTTATGTAGTACATACATAGAGGGTTTTCCAATGAGAAGTTATTAAAATTAAGTATAAGATTTTCATCCAAAAATCATTTTGACTGATGAGCGCCATTTCTCCCTCGAGGGATACGGCAATATGCAAAACTGTCGAATCTGAGGCGCGAGAAATCCAAAATTTATTGTTAAAAAAGCCTTTCCATTCTCAACGTGCTCAAACTGCTTGGTGCGGTTTATGGCTCAACGGGGTCATTTTGGGCTTCTTCGAAAATGTATGGATTGCACAATCGAGAGATGGTTCATAATTTTTTATGGCCGGAATTGGTTGGTATTGATCTGGACAACGTTTGCTTTCAACAAGAAGGCGCTGCGTGCCATGCAAGCAATGGAACCATCGATTTTTTAAGGGAATAGTCTTGGACTGTATTAACTCTCGATGAGGTGATAGGAATTGGCCACCAAGTTCTTGTAATTTTACATCTTGGGACTTCTTTCTTTGAGATTACGTAAAGGATAAGGTCTACGCCAACAGACCAACATCGATGCAAGATTTCCAAGATGGAATTTATTATGGAACATTTGATAAAAAGGATACGGTCCCGTAAGCGTAGCGGTGGCGGCCATTTGACTAATATTGTTTTCTATTATTAATAGAATATTTCCCTCTTTACGTAAAATGAAAAATGTAATAGTTCTTTGAATAACAAAATAACCCTTCTTATTGGAAAACCCTGTATTTACAATCACTTTATAATCGATAATAATCTGCGCCAAGAGGAGATTGCTAAAGAAAAATTTTAATTGTAAAAAAAATTAAAAAATTTTGAGGTTAGAAAATACTAATTTTCTGAAAATTTTTTCGAATTTCCTTTATTTTGATTTACTTTCTTTTTTTTGCAGACAATGTGCCCCGTTTGCTTTGATCGCATTAAGAATATGGTCTTCCTTTGTGGTCATGGTACATGCCAAATGTGCGGCGATCAAATCGATGGTTGTCCAATTTGCCGTAAAACTGTGGAGAAACGTATTTTATTATTTTAAGCGTGTTACGCATACAAAGGCAACATAATACATATTAAACAAAATGTATATCTTCAAATTGGCAGCTTTGCAAAAATCATATCTACATATACCATGCCCTGCTATGTGTCTATTACTAAGCTACTACATATTATAATCCTATCACTTTCTACTGTATCGCTTATATGTGTATATGCGCTATATAGTGGGTATAATACAAATCTTTTGTATTTATCCCTTACATACCTATACTGTATGCTATAAGACCGAATTCAAATCTACTGTATTTAACGCGCAAATAATCTCTAATATATACATATGTTCTGCATGTTTGTAATGCGTAAATATATTGAAAAAAAATGCATAAATTGATAGCAAGGAGATATTATATATGCACTCAAATTTGACTTATTTTTCATAAACTTTTTTTCATTAGTTTATATACTCATAAAACGTAATTTTTTCCATTAAAACTATTTTATAAAAGTACATACATAAATATGTATAATTTAGTAGCTGCAATTCATTGCCTTCTTATTATTTGTTTGCTTCCAAAATATCATATTGCTTAAATGTAGTTAAATGTAATTATTTAATTACTCCCAAAAAAAAGTAATAACGTTTGCCTTATATGTATTTATATACATAAAAAAAATATACATATATACAAAATACTTTATTTTACTAATTAGAACATTCCCTTATTTCGCTTTTAGCTTTAAGCACTACTTTTTTTTAGTCGTAACAAATTTGAAATTTTCCCTATACATACATATAACGATACAAATTAATTTGCTGCTTCATTGACATACATATTATATACAAGCATTTACCGACGTAGTAAATAAAACCAACTTAAAACATAACAATGAAAGGCTTTTTATTTTAGGATATAAATTTTATAATTTTTACTTTAGATCCTTAACAAGGATTTCAATTTATCAGGTACTAAGATCTTATATTCACATCCCAACATTTTTTATCTCGATCCAGTGTTTAATAACTCCTCTTCACTTAAGATTGCATGATGCTGCCTGTTGACCTAAAGGAAGTTAGATTAGGTTATGTGACACTGACGGCAAACTTTTCATTGATCTCTTGGTAATGTAGTTACCACGGAGGACGTCGTTTTTGCAAAGCATAATTGTGCTTTCAGATGTCTAATGTGCATGCTTTTGATAAGACCGGTCAGTACCGGAGAAAGTGCTCCAAAATTTCACTTGGGAGGCGTTCCGTTCTACACTACCTACAAGTGACATTGCTAGTAATGCCCTTTTTATGTAGGGCCAATAGGTTGTGGACCGTCATAAGGCCTACAACTGTTTTGCTGTTCTTTCGAAGCGACATGAATAAAAGGTTGAGTTTTGCGGGACGCTAAGGCCTTCCATACCACTCTGATCCGTCTTCCAGGCCTCAATTTTGTATTTTATGTACAGGCTCGGTCGTCAGAAGGATAGCTCTTCTACTAATCTCATAAAAGATTTCGTTCTCCCCAATGTTCTTATAGCATTGAGCACAGTGGATAGCAATTGCGTTCCTGCAGCCTACTTATCCACTGCCTTCGTGATTATTAGAACATTTTCTGACGTATTGCGATGTGAGATTATTGTTTTCATTGACAGCCAATGTACATACATATACATGTATGTTGATGTTTTTATGTGGTTTCCAGCAGAAGCTTTCCTTACCACCGCCTGGATAATAATGAAATATTCCGCGGGGGTTGTTTTAGATCTAGTAATTTTTTTCCGTCTGTGCAGTTACGTAAATTCCGCTGACAGCCCGTACATAGCCACCCACCCTCTTTTAATGTGGCTTGGAACCTTTTTTCCGAGATAATTACTGAGCTATATCCGAAGGTTTTAGTTGAAGTGAAGAAGTCGCAGCCGATTTCGTTACAATGCTTTCCACTGCAATGTCGATTGACGATAGCTCTAGTTGTGCAGTCTGCAGCGAGCCACTGTATTCCTTCTAATGGTTTTCTGTATTTTATGATTTTGTTCATCGCGGGGCTCCCCACTTAAACATCATAGAGTAGGATTAGCTTGACTACCGCTGTGTGACGCCAATGCATGAGACCAGGCTAGGCCTGGACATTCTTTACCCTCTCTTTCACATGGAGTATGCAAATTACTCTGAGGTATTCGGTGTGTTATTTAATTCTCGTTGAGTTTCGGGGAATTCTACACAGTGAGCTTGCACCTTTTTCTGAAATGTACATTATGAATACGTTTTCTTGGTATTTACCTCTAAGTTTGTTAGCGTGATCTATTTGTTAGCTAACTCTGTAAGTTGGACCTAATTCCACTCCGCCCTTATATATGCCTGCAGTTTAACAGGTTTTTTATGCAAACATAGAAGGATGGTAGGGTCTACACAGGCTAATTCCAGCCTATTCTGCCTTGGAGACATTATTGAAATCTCGAAACACATACAGGAAAACTCGCCTAGCGCATTCCTTATGCTCTAGAGCTCTTTCTACATATAGAGTTAGTGAGTGAAGTTCCAGCTCTATGAATCTACTCTTCTTATAGACATGTTGCTAGGTTAGGCCGACGAAAAATCATAACTTTTGATCGGCGCATAAAATCTGAATCGACTGCAGTGAAAAATTTTGGAATAATTCAATATTCTTCGTAATTTTATATATTTTGGTGTGGACTGCTTTGTCCCTTTTTAGAAAGGAGAAAACAATTTAACTACCAATTTTATGCGTTTATTTATTCCGTGAATTTATTTCGTTTTAATAGTCCGTTTGAACCTTCCTGTTAACAACCTCTGACAAAAAGAGCTACCATAAAATAACAGATCCAGCATTAAAATTCAGTGACTTATTGAACTGAGTTGCATTTATTAACAATTATTATATAATAAACCATATATGTATGTAAACTATTACATGTTATACTGAGTTCTAAGCCTTGTTTATAAAATTTGAGGTTATGTTCATTCATGATACATATTAAAAAGCAATTTTAAATACCTAAAACTACTCTGTTGGTCTTGTCATTGTTCTTTTACATACGTATCTTGAACAATCTATGATCGTGGAAATGGCTTACTGTCACCGAATATCGATATTTGGCGGATATACCAAATCTGAATAGCAGTGAATGTCGCCAAGCTTACTGCTTGCATATTCTTCATAGACATATAAATACATATATTTCATTACCTAAAGTACATTTAATGTTTTTCAAATATAATTTGGGATCATTAAAACTTAGGAGTAGCGAGAATAAACTGCCTTCACTTTGTGCCTCTTCATGTATTTATTTATGTAAGTAAATTGATGTTTGACTCTCTAAGCCTCTCACGGCTAAATTATATTCAAAAGAGATTTGTTTGTCAAGTTTTTGCACATCGGAATGCATTGGTGGTTGTGGGCAGTGCCTGTGAAAAAGGCAAAATTCTACATGAAAACTCAAAAAAAAAAAATAAAAATAAAAGAAATAATAATTATGTTATAAAAAAGTAAAAAAAAAAGATTAACAATATTTATAAAAAAAAACATTATTAATAAAAATACATTTTTAATGAACATATTTGTTAGCTGACATATGTACATACTTATAAAAATACCTAATTTTTCATACATAGCTAATAGTCAAGCACAGCCAGACAAAAAACAATGGCAATCATAAGCAAATAGAAACTTAAAACAACATATTTAAAAAATTATGGACTTTATGCTGAATGGATTTGAATTTAAGAGATAAGTATTAATGCTATTAATTCTAATATCTAACTAAAATATATAGCAAAAAATATTGACTAAATTATTTAGCACATTATAATAAATACAATTTTTTTCTTTTTTTTGCGTCTCAAAGTAAACATCATCAACTCTACTTTAGTACTAAACCCATATAATAAACACGATTTTTTACCTCGTTAACCTCGTCCAAACAAATAATTTTTTTTCTTTTCAATTATTAGAATTTAAGATTTTGTTCTGCATTTCTATGTTGTCTATAAAAATTGAATTTATTTTAAGGAGCTACAAAACTGATCACTTGATACTTTTCTGCAACGGCAGAACTATATTGCATAAGCCAATACCCAATTGTTGTTAAGATTTCAAAATACATCCCATAAATCGAAACAATTAAAGCATTGGTATACGACGTTTGTCACTGAATATATTACGGTAATCTTTACATTCTGCATAGCTCTCTTTAAAATCAAATACACGTAAATTATGATCTGTTGCTATGAAGAGATAACGATTATCACAGGCTAAGCTATACACAGGAGAACTCTGATTTTTCGCTCTTTTACTCCGGCGTGGAAAATATAATTGCTGATATTTATTTGGCATACGTATATCATATAAATTGACACGACTATGATATTTAGCGCCGCATAATAGCGCATATAAACCATCATATTCAATGCAGTAAAATGATGAATCAAAAGGATCTTCGAATATGGCTTCATCGCGATTCGAACGACGATCATACATACGGCAAGTGGTGTCAAAGTTGCCGGTGAATAGTACATGCTCATCTTTAATAAGTAAGTCATATATAGATAGGGTGTTTGAGTTAAGTATAGTTTCCTTGCCGCTAGAAATGAAATGATAAGCATTCAAAACTTTATTAAAGAGATATAATCAACAAATACCTTTCTACATCAAATTCACGTAACGCTTGCCTATCTGTATCCGTATATAAACCACCATATAGCCGCTCACCTCCATCCGCAAATTTTAGTACTTTATATTCTCGCCGCATTTCATCGATTGACTCTAAATTAATTAAGCCCAATTCATTTGTGCGTCGCCACAGTTTTGCACACACACTCGTGCTAGTTACATACAAATCATCTTCAAAATCTACGCAATGTAAATATTCTTTAGCGCTATGCAATTGCTGGTCATTGGCATAGCCATCTTCCCAGATATAACAGTTACCCGTAACACGTCCAACGAATATTGTATCACCCTTTTTAGTGAAACTCGATATATCGCCACGTATACTGGAAGATATTTCCTGTTTATATCTACGTTGTAATGGTTCGTTATTAGCACGTCCATAAACACGTAAATAATCCATATGAGTTACATAAAGAAAATTACGCTCCAAGAGCAATTTTGTGGGGAACATTTGTGCATGATGATAGTACTCATACTCTCTATAACGGCCTTGCAACCAATTACGGGCAATACTGAGCCGTGCGGCATAGGAGAGGGAATTGTATGTCCTGCGTTGTAAATAATGAAAATGAAATAAACATGAATATGTTATGTGACTGCAAAAGTATACATATACCTTTTGGATATCCTTGGGGAATTTCGGTGTCCGCACATGAGCGAATCTAAGGTTTTCACATAGAAAATATTCTGTTCGATTACATTGCGTAGTATGCGATGCACACGACATAAATTCAGCCAATCCTGTTCATTACAATAACTCAGAATTCGAAGAAGGCAATCTAAGTTCAAATCAATTAATCTAATTTGTTTCCGTCGGTTACCCTCCATTTCGGCATTAGTTTCATTTGACTCACACAATGAACTCAAATTAGGTGCTAAAAGCACATTTTAAACGAAGAAAGGATTTTGGTTGTTTTAAAAATTATTATTTAGCAAAAATAAATTTATTTTCCATCCTAAAACACAAAAAAAAAAGGAAAACACAGCTGATAATGCTCATGACTGTCAATTTATTTGTTTATTTCAAGTGTTTGTTAAACTATGTTCACACCTTGCTAACGCTAACGGTGAACGTTTGAAGCTAGGTTAAGCCTCTGATCATCAGTCAATATATCTCAGTGTTTATTCAAGTTAGCAGTTACTGGGTCTGACAGATGCACATACAGACTAGGTTCAATCAACTATTCTGGATATTCCATAATAATTTTTTTGAAAAATTTAAATGTTTATTTAATTTACTTTACTGTGAATTATCTAGGCGAAATAATCAAAATTTTCATCAGCTGACATACAGCTGAAAGGTGTTTGCATAGAAAACGTAATAATTTATTAATTGTGTTTGTTTATAAAAATAGGAAAATAATACATAGTAGTTATACCTCATTTGCAGTAAATAACAATGGATACTCAATCCAATCCAAGTTTGAGTCAATATTTTGCAGACGATCCGCCAAGCTTTTTTGATGGACTGGCCAACAACAGCAGTACACAAAATGACCAGGGCAAGTACAATACATATGTATATAATATTATATATCAAAAAAGGTAATATATTCATTTGTAACAACTTCTTCAAAAAGTGGACACTGCGACCGGCACAGCACCAATACCACCGCCACGTACACAACAAAAACCGCAACCAACACCAAGCAATTTGACCGCAAATACTTTTAGTGGTGCATTTAAAGCACCAGAATATATAGAAAATCCTTCAGATGGTGAAGATGATCTTAAAGTATCCGATTATGTACGAAATTTTTGGGAACCAGCAACTTGTGAGCATAGCGGCGTACGCCCACCATTGCTAACTACACCAGGCATACAAACTCCAAATGATTTGGTAAGCTAAACTAATTGGGTTTCTTTATTAATACAATTTATTTTCATAATATATATGTATGTATGTGTCTCTTTTTTTGTATTAAGCCCGATCTCATTGCTGAAGCTGTGGTTAGACATTTGAGTGAATCTGAATTGGAGCAACGCAATATACTTGGTACGGACAATGTAACGCAGGATGAACGTGGCATACGTACATTAATTAGTGCGGGCTGCTATCGCTCTGCCGTAAATCTAACTGGACGTTTGCTAACAATATACGGTCAAGGTTATGGTCGTGCCGGCCAGCCGGCCAAACACTCTCCGCATTCATTGCAACTATGGTTTACACGGTTTGCGCTTTTAGCTAAATTGGGTGAATTTGAGCTATTACAGGCGGAAGCAGAACCTTTCGATCAACTCAATCGACCAGATGTATACTATGAGGTATAGAGCTTGCTGTTTATTTCTATTGTATATTAAATATTAACAATTTCTATAACAAAGTTTTATCCGGAAATGTATAATGGCAAGACTGGCTCAATAGCTTGCTTTTCATTTCGTCTACTACTTGCTGAGCTGCCGATTTACATGAATAATCTGCCTTTAGGCATAGATCGTCTGTCGGAGCTTTACGTGATATGTAATGAAATTAGAAGATATTTCAGCGGGCGCGAACCGAAGGAAGCGGAACAATTTTGGCGGCGTCGAGAGATACGCGTGCTACACACCATGGTCAACTGCGCTTTAATAGTAAAATTGAAAAAAAAAAGAAATCTGTATAAAACATAGTAATTTTTAATATTTAATATTTATTTTCCGGTTGTTAGATGAAAAAGTTCAATTTGATTGATGACATCATACGTGGCATGGTACTGGAATGCAATGATATAAGCAAGGAAGAACGTCGCGCTTTGTATTCTGCATGGGGACGAATTTATTTGCAAATCGGGGATATTTTCGGTGCCGAACAAAAATTTGCAGAGGCTCGTAGAATGCGTGAAATGTAAGTACATACCCAGTATATAGTTAATTTGCGTAGATTACTTCCAACAGCACTTTGTGTTTATATATTTTCAGCAACTCCACGCCCGATTTGCGCGACTTGGTAGACAAAGGTCTAATTACGGTAGCGGAAAACGATTTTCGTGGCGCTTATGCTATTTTCCAAAAAGCTTTGCATTTAGAACCCGGCAATACAATGATACTCAACAATATGGGCGTTTGTTTGCTTTATGAAGGGAAATTAAAAGATGCTATTAAATTATTCGAACATGCAATTAATTTAAATCCACAAAAATCCCTAAATGAAAGTTTACTAGTTAATTTATCTACACTCTATGAATTGGAATCGAATAATTCGAAACATAAGAAATTAAATTTACTACGTTTAATTAATAAATATAAACCAGATTTGAATATGGATTTAAAAGTTTGCTTAAAATTAGATTCGACCAATTGATATGAGGCATTTGATAATGAAATTAAAATATTTTTGTAAAATCTCTCAAAATGTATTGTTTAGAAAAAGACACAAAAGGAGTATTTGTTCTTAGTTTATAAGTATTATTCTGCGGAAAAAGAAGAAGCAAAAAAAAAATTACAAAAACAAATTGCCCTCCATAAAACTATTAATATGTACGACCATAATTTGTAAATATGTGGAAATATATGTATGTAACTTTATGTTATTATAATGAATTATCTTTGTTTTAATTGATATTATTAACCATCGGCTGGAAATCGCTTCAACGTTTACAGAGCGTCAATTATGTATGCATATATACATACATTATAAACATATAAGAAGCTATTGAGATGCTGTAAAAGACCTGTCGAATTGTAGAATGCATATATATCTACAAGTAAATGTATTTTTAATGTCGCTCTTTCGATAATAATTTAATAATGCATAATTATTAAATTTTATGTATATTTTTTATTTTAACATAAAATAATTATAGCCATGATTTATAAAGGAAACCTCATTTTAACGCATTCCAGAACGAGCATTGATGCAGAATTAAATTATTTGTAATATAAAATTAAAAATATTGGCAGATATTAAGTAAAAGGTTGTTGGAAAATGCTTTATTTTTGTTTTTTTTTTTTTTATTTTGGTGTCTTAATTTTAATGAAAATTATTTCAAAACATTTTTGTGCGATTTTAACTAAAACAATTTTTTTAAATTTTTTTTTTTAGTTTTTGTGTTGTTTTTAATATCATTTCGTGGCTAGAATACAGATTATTGTTTTTTTTTTAATTTTGCGTTTATCAATAAAGCAGTTTGGCGGAGAGTATTTTTTAATAAATATGTATTGATAACTAGAAAGTGCTTAATTTACTTTTGAACATATGTATGTATGTATAAATGTACATTTTAAATTTAACTAAAATAATTTTAGTTTTTGTCAGTAAAAATGCTAAAGTCCCCCAATTTCAAACCGCCATTAAAGGAATCACCGAATAGTTTCATATTCTTTCTGTGGATGCTGGTCAGACCACGATTCACGATTCGGACTCATAAACTTTCGTATTATAGCGCTTTAAAGCCTAAATTGAGGAGGCAAATAAGGCGATACTGAGTACAGAGTGGAAGTGGAAGGCAATTGTCTACAATTGAACTACTACAACTTAGCGAAAAGTTCAATTCTGAGCACTTTTAAGCTGATTATTTGCTTGCAACAAGGTTTTCAAAAAAGCGTACAGAATATATTAATACAATAGGTGTTTTGTTTTTAATTGTGACAACCCCAGACCATATACACCTTCAACGATCAGTTAAAAATTGTTTTGCTCGTTCGAAGGTTTGGATGCACCCATCCTATAGCCTGGACTTTGCACTAACTTGATTCCCATTTTTTACGGTCTCTGCAAAACTCTTTGCACAGTAAAAAATTGTACCACCGAAGCGCCGCGGAAAATCATTTCGCCAAGTGCTTCGCTGATAAACCACAGAAGCTCTACTCAGATGGACTTATGAAGTTGCACAAAAAATGGCAAAGGGCCTTAGACAAAAAATGTTCAATATTTATTTGATTAAAAATAAATTAAAAAAAAATTAGTTCAAATTTATCAAAAAAAAAAAAAAAAACTCAAGACCTTTTTAACTCTCCAAAACTTGTATAGAGATTTAATAAATACTGTCTACACATTGTTGTGGGCTTCAGATTTTTTTTACACAATTTTTAGTTTGATTGGCATTGCTAAGAACCATAAAAAAACCCTCAAAATATTAATTTTTTTATTATATTATTAAACTTTTTGTATGGCTTGGTCAGTTCTTCGCTGCTCTAAGTCTTTCACGAAAATGCCAAACGCACTTTTCAGATCTATGCGCTTATTTAAACTATACGAAGAGCTTGTAATCCGCAGCCGAAGAATAATAAAAATGCGAAGCGAGCATACCTACACACGATCTATGCTTCTACCCACATCAATTCTATTTTTCATTTAATCTTGCGGTCATCCCTTTCCCATAAAGAATTTATTACACACGTACATTTCTAGCAACTCGAACTTGGTTCCAGATCTCTGCTCCATTTCCAGGGGAAATAAACGTATTTCATTTCATTCAACAAACAGATCGGTTCACTTCATAAAAGAAGAATTCCAAGTAAAAAGAACTATAAATACAATATTTTTGAGTAATTCAGTCAGTGGTCTACTTCCCGCTGAGAAGAGTAGTCTTCCTCTAAATCTATGTACCGCATTTCAAGTAGATCTGTCGATCTATAAATGAAATTTTTTCGAATAGTTCGGTCTTTGGTCCTCTTCACGCGCTTTCCACGATTCATAGAAACAAATTGACCAGTTTCCAGTACAATCTGGCAGTTAGTTTTGGAGATTACAAAAAGGAAGCATACAAACAAACGTTTCTGTATATACGTCTATATGTAGATTCATAAAAGTATCTGAAAGAAATGATGCCAATTCTTTTGGATAAACTCTAGTTATGCCATCAATTCGTTTTTTTGTTGTTTTTTAACTTTTATTTGCAATTGAAAGCTTTGAATGAATTTTTGAATATTTTTTTTTATTAAATTTGTGATTATTATGTTCGTTATTAAAGAGAAAATTTTCAGCTTATACCTACGCTAACTACAACCTAACGGTTTCTGCTGATGTGCACTTAATTAAAATAATAGATTTATAAGAGAAAGAAAAGCTTTCTTCAACTCAACAATGTGTTGTTTCTTTTGTAATTGAAAATTAATGAAATTTGCTTCATTTTAATTGTGATTTTTATCGATTAGATTTAATATTTAACTCGTTGATTATTTGAATTATTGAAATTTGAATTAGATGCGCCGCATCACAAGTTGAGTTAGGCAATTTATTTATGTATGTATGTATATACAAACTATACATATATTCAGCTTATGGACGTGTGTGTGATTGCGCTTTATCAACATATTTTTAATATTTATTTATAATTTTACTTTTATTTTTTTCTTTTTATGAATTAATCATTAAATGTAAATACATACGTAAAAACTACATACATATGTACAATACATACTTTTGCTTTTGCTTCTAGCGTATACGAAAAAAAAAAATATTATTAATAATAGTAATAAAACATACTAAATAATTTACTTTATTTTGATTATGAGTTTGCTTTCGTTTCATCAACTTTCTAGTTTAAATAGTTTCACTTATTTCAAGTTTTCATTGTGTTATTGTGTTTTTAGTTTCCGTTACGGTTTCTTTGAGCTACGAACTAATAATAACAGTACACATTAGACACAGTCCCTGTACTTCAACTATCACTATTGTTGGCATTATTACTGGTTGGCGTAGTTGTTGTGGAATTCATGGCATTAGACACAGTTTCAGCAGCTTGCGATGTGTTTGTTGGTTCGGCTTTTGATTGTGACGATGAAGATGACGACGGCGATGACGTCGTCGTGGTTTCCGCTGTCTCATTTAATGCAGCAGCAATTTCACCATTAAATTGCAATAGACAACCCAATGCACCAAAGTAGCCTTCGTGTTCGAGGAAGAGCGCTTTAAGTGTGCCATTCGACCAGAATTCCATGGCGTAAGCGAGTAGTTTCATTGAAATGGGATTGACGCGCAAAAAATTGCCGACAAAGACCACCTGAAAGGCGACAGATAAAGTGTGATATTAATAAACATAGAAACTTTAGATAAAAAAATAAAAAAAAAAATAAAAATAAAATTAAAAAAAAAAAATAAAAATAAAATTAAAAAAAAAAAAAAAAAAATTTTTTTTTTTTATTATTAATCAAACAATTAAAGGATGTCGTGTGGATTTCAATGAGGCAATATTTATTTTTTTGTTTGGTTTGGGCATCCTTAAAGACGCTTATTGGTTCCAAATGAGTCCATCCGACATCGCGCGCACCATTTGGAGCAGTGCACATCCACTTCATGGAAGATATTGCGCGTTTACGGGTTTAAAAAATTCAACTCGTCCAAGAATTTAAGCTGAACGACCATAAAACGCGTAGCACCTTCGATGAATGGGCCCAAACCGAATTGGACACCGGCGCCAAAGAAGCATGTGGAGTGCTGATAATCTACAAACCAATGTTGAGACACCGTTACATCCACAAAAATACACGATTTGGAATGCTCTAGGGGCAGATGGAATCATACTTCTTAAAGAGCGAAGCCGGCTTCAATGTTACAATCAATAGGGAACGCTATAGAGCCATGATTAATGACTTTTTCGTGTCTGAATTGTAGGATGTTGAAGTGTACGACCTAAAGACGGCGCTTGCCTACCCAACAGTCAACGAAGTAATCAATTTATTGCAGGAAACTTTGAACGAGCGCCTTATCTTGCATCGTGGGCCTGTGACGTGGTGTGTGCTCCAAGATCGTGCGATTGAATACCGTTGGACTATTTTTTTCTGGGGTTATGTGAAGTCGCTTATCTACGCAGCTAAGCCAGAGACGATTGACGCCTTGAAAGAGAATATTCGGCAAGTTATTGCGAAAAGTATACGAGAATTGGGCCTTTCGTTGGCAAACCTTTTTCTTTATACTAAGGCTACATTTGGGTTGAAATCCTGGTGTCGGACTAATATCCGAAAAGTTATAGAAAATTAATTTAAATAAAAAATTAAGCTAAATTTTCTAATTGTAGTCGCTCCTCGACAGGGAATGTCAACGCCTACGAGCGTCATCAACCGTTTGGAGGCGGCTTAGTATAAACTGTAGATCCCTCTTTTTGTTGGAAAAACATCAAGACGCAAAACCACAATAATATAAAGCTAAAGTGTTGGCTATAAAACTAAATTTTATACCAAATATATATATATTCTTACCTTATCCATTTTCTCATTCAATGCGCACATTCGCGCAATTGAGCCAATATTATTGGTAATCGTTACCAATGTCGCATTGGCCAAGTCTTCTCGCGACACCGATGAGCGTTTATCTTTAATATGCATTTGTCCAAAGCTATAAATATTTAAAATAATAATATAGTGTATATTAATATAATATTATATAAAAAGAGAAAAAGAATTTTATGTTTTTTACCTAGATGCCACTAAATCACCCGTCAAACCGAAACGATCATAGTCGCCGCCATAGATATCGCGCACTAGTTTATCCACTTTGCGATTATCGCCTTTTGTTGCGAGCTGTATTGCCTCCTCGAATGAATTACAGCCGGTTAGCAGGCAACATAGACCAAGGAATGTACCACCACCCAAACTGTAAGGAGTAAAAGAAAAATGGAAAAAAAAATTAAAATAAAATCCAAAATTGATTTCTATGTTAGAAAATTATACTTTTAAAGTGTGTTTTGCTTAAAACAAACCAAATTTGTTGCTTTATACTGTTATAGATGAAGTGCCCTTCAGAAAGGATTCACTTTATTCAGTTTGCCTTAAGTCACAGAGACTTAGTGATGAATTTAATATATTCAATTAATATCGAAAATTATTAGAAAAATATATTTATCACTCCCCTACGCGATTTTAGGCCTTACCTGGATGCCTGGCTACTCTCGCTCGCGGCGCTACCTGGCATGCTATTCAGCGACCAAGAACTGCCACTTTCCCAATCTAGAGTGCAACGAACACCTCGTCCATCGGATTGGCTTTATTAATGGCAGTTTTAGGCAGTAACAGTGTCCTTATAATGGCGGACTTTATATTTTCTCACACACTATGCGCAGCATTGAGATCAAAGAACAAAATAAATACAAACAGCAACAGCCACAATAAAGAGTAAGAATTCAAAAGGGAAGTGTGCTGTCCCCGAAGATAGTATGACATTGGTCAGCTTAATAAGTGAGGGAGAGCTTTAAGCCTGCTCTAGAAGGTACGATTGTTGAATTCACTTCTCGTAAGAGAGCATTTGGCGTAGGCTACAAATCGAGCAGAGGCTTTGAACGGACGTGTCCAAATGTCCAAAAAGCAGCGCTTCAGTGTAAATGGCACCCTGGGTCTACTAGCAGCATTGAGCCAAATAAAATCGTTAAGCTTGCTAAAGAAAGACTATACATATCAAGGACAGGAATTTCAGCCGGAGCTGGGCCACCAATGCAAGCAGAAAAGCTGAGTGTAGTGATTCGGCAGCATCTGATCGTCATTTTGGTGGATGGCATCAATGTTGCTATTGTTGTTGTTGTTGTAGTAACTACATAAATATTTCCCAGGCAGTAGCAGATCGGGATCGTTCCGGTATAAAGACCCGACTGTCGCCGAAACTTTTGAATTTTAGTCGCCTTTGACGATACGCATGCCTTAACGCGGGAAGTTTTCTTATCTGAAGACGGTTTTTTGCATGGAATGAACAAGAAGGTGTTGAATATACTTATATATTTTTAGTTGGGAAATCAATGTTGATGTGTTTATTATTAGCTATATAAAGTACTTTTATTCACTGCTCGAAAGCTGCTCAATAAACAAAAAGTGTTGCCTGCTTTTGGAGAAAGTTTTTGTTTCTAATTTCAAGGTCATTAAATTTTCCCATATAAAGATGTTGCCTAAAGAAACCGCTGATAAAATGATTCAAATAATAATTTTCCTGAATTTCTTAATTCTCTAATGCCCATCTGAAGTTGTTATTTGGGATACTCTTGAAGCAAATTTCAAAACGACTTTTTCAGTTGGGAGCTAACGGCTTCAAAAGTGCTATGAAATTATAAAAAATAATAAAAAAAAATCATCTAAAATTATTTCAATTACCTTGTACCCGAGACACGCTTAAAGTTGTCTGGTCCATAAACAGCCAATATCGACACACCCGAACCGACATTTACCAATATGAACGGATATGGTTTGGAGAAATCAAAGGCACGCTTTTCACTTTTCCTGCAAAATGAGTGGAAATTAATAAATATTTAATTTATTTATTTATTATTAGAAAGGGAATAATATAAATTACACAAAATGTAACTTACATAATATCACGCGCATTCTCATAGAAATAGCACTCTGTAGGATTTTGTACCTCGGCAAAGAGTATGCCTTTGATGAGCGTATCGAGTTCATCGAATTTGGCGAGTTTCATATTGACTTGCTGGACGATGGGGAGGAAAAGATAAATTTTGTAAAAATTAAACATTAATACAACGCATTATTTATAAAATATTTGAAAAATATTAATATATTTTCCATTATTAAATATGTATATATTTCTTAATAATCTTCTATGATATATAACCGACAGATTATACTGAAAAATTGTCAATTTTTTCAACATTTTCGTGGAAGACTTTGAGTAGCGTAAAAATTACCACACGTATGTATGTAGGTAGATCAATACACACATACACATAATAAAGCACTTAATATTTTAAATCAGATGATCTTTAATTAGGCTTTTTTTGCTCATTCTTTGCAATAACAGAACCAAATACAAAAAGCCACAAGAAAAAAATTGGAAATTTTGGAAATTAATAAAAAAAATCTTAAATTCATAAAAAATATGTTTTCATTCCTCTCACCTGCCGGAATTCATTTTCGAACTTGAATGCACCACCACCAGTTGCACAAACTGTGGTCACCAATTCGGCCATGCCCTTCTGTTTGGCCAAAAGCAGGAAATTGCTCATGTCAGTGGTTTGGAAACGGATGAAATGCAGTGAGCCCCGACGCTTGCGTATCTCAACATTGTCTATCTGAAAGGTAAAGGAGAAAAATATAAGAAAAACTGAAAATGTGTATAGGTAGCATTTTTTTTTTTAAATTTTACATATGATTTTCTATTATGTAATTTTTGTATTTTTATAAATTAATATTTATATGTTTAAATATGTTTTATTATTTATTATCCTAAACTCTTTTTTGTTTTTGTATTTTTTTTTAAACTCTTATTAATTTTTTTTTAATCTTTTTTTTAATTTATCATTTAATTTTTTATTTTTCATATTTTTATATATTTTTTATTTTTTTTATTTTTTATATTAAAATTTTTATATATTTTTAATATTTTTATTTTATTTTCTAATTTTAATTTTTTTCTTATTTAATTTTTTATTTTTTTAATTTCTCTTTTTATATTTTTTTCAATTGTTATATTTTTTATATTTTTTTATATTTTTTAATGATTTTTTTATATTTTTTTATAATTTCTAACATTTTTTTAAATGTGTTATTTTTTTTTAATTTCTTACATTTTTTGTTTTATTTTTTAATTTTTTCTCTTATTTAACTTTTATTTTTATTTTTATATTTTTTTATATTCTTTATTATGAACTTTCTATATTTTCTTTAAAATTTTTAACATTTTTTTCAACTTTTTTATTTTTTTATATTTTTAACATTTGTTTTTGTTTTGAATTTTTATTTTTTTAATTTAAATTTTTTTCTTATTTAATTTGTTTATTTTTATTTTATTTTTTCAATTTTTCTTTTTATATATTTTTCTTTTAATTTTAATATTTTTTTATATTTTTTATTATGAATTTTTTATATTTTCTTTATACATTTATAATTTTCTTTTTTCAAATTTTTTTATTTTTTTATATTTTTATATTTTTTTAGTTTAAATCTTTTTTTTATTATTTATTTTCTAATTTTTTTATTTATTTAATTTTTTCCCTTTCTCTTTTCTATTTTTGCTTTTTTAGCTTTCCAAAAGCCGCTTTTAAAGTGTCATGCAGGCGTGCTGAGGTGTACAAGGTCAAATATTGACATTGGAACAAAAAACCAGTAGGCAAAATACATCCTACATATGAATATCACTGCACTGGTGCACTGTGTGTCGTTTAAACGAGTTCCTATAGCCAATGAGTGTGTGTGTGTGTCTGCTCAGGTAATATAATGTAATGAAAATTCAATTCAAATTCATGCAAAGCATAAATGAATGGCCGTTTGCTTAGAGCTCAGCTTTTCTTTCTTCCAATTTAAAAATAGATAAGTTCAACATCTAATAATGGTAGGTGTGTGCGAGAGAGAGAGAGAGGAAGAGAGAAAGGGCAGGAGGGTGATATATCCGGCGATTGCCGATTAAAGCTTTACATATTTTAATAAATATGTAAATGCAATTTGAGCGGAAATGTCATATTTGCATATGTACACCTACATACATACGTATTACGAAATGAATATTTTAATGTTTCGTTTTGCTCGATTTTCTTTAATTTATTCAACTTGAACATACGACTTTTTCAACAAATATGAATAAAAGTAACGTAATATGTTGTAAATAACGAAGAAAACGATCTGATATAGTTGTTTAGATGATTAATGCTTCTTCTAGATTTTTTTTTTTAATTTAGTGTTTATCCACTCAAAGTTTTTTCTGTCGGCCAACATAACCTCAAAATTTTTTCTGGCCCAAATCAATTTATAGAAAGCTCAAATTTATGTAAAATTTTAATATTCGTTATTAAATAATAATTAAAAAAAAAAAACAAATAGTTTATAATTAAATACTAAAATAAATACTTTTAAATAAAATTAAAAAGGAGTAAAGGCTCCGACTCTTCTAAACAGAGAAGCAAAATGAAAGTACTATAATCAATTCAGTTCAACTCCCAGAAATCACACATGAAATAAGCTCTCATATGTATATAAATATATATTCCATAAGTTAGCGTTAAATTTAAATCAGAAACCAAAAACTATGATTTTTGTCTTAAATTTTAATAAAAAAAAAAGCTTCCAATCATAAGAAAATTGATATCAATATATACGTTATGGCTAAGATGAGTGCACAGCAGATAACATGAATGTTTGAAATTTCTCGAAAATATTTCACATCCGAGCAGCAAAAGAACGTCCAGTTCGCTTACTTTTAACTGTCTTATAATTGACATTTACTTCACGCTACTGGTGTTCGCTGTCAGGCTATAAAAAAAATAGGTTTGAGAAATCTTGAAGCGAAAAGCTATACAAAACAGAAAAAATGAACTGTCCTTATACCTTCTATAGCCCAATCAAAGTTCATTTTAGGATTAAATATTAATTCTCTGTTTGTCCCTATCTATTCAATTGGCTGGTGGAGGCTAAATGAAGAAAATTTACCGATTTCGCTGATTTTTGATGATAATTTTGATTTGTAGATACGTGAGTAGAGTACCAAATTTTATGCTCTCGGGTGTTCTTTTGAGAAATATTTCACAAAAAACTAAAAATTGTTACGATCTGACCAACTGTGTGCCGATTTTAGTTGAAATATCTAAAAAACCGACAGTTGGGCATGACTAAATGAACGCAACTCGTCATTCTAACCCGATCGATCAATCTCTCTAGCTCTCCTTGTTGTACTTCGGATCACAGTTAATATACTACTTCATGTTCAGGAAAGGTATGATGGGTTATTCCGAAGAATTTTTGGAGCTAAGAGGCTCATTCCATTTTGAGCTGTCACTGAATTTTTGAAGTTTGTCTGAAATTTCCTTAACAGTTTGACATTTATTGAGAATTCTCTTTGATTGTTTTTTCAGTTGGGTTGCCCGAAAAGAAGCAGGTGCATTTCTTTAAATTTTATAATGATCATTTATGTAGATTTCATTTTGTTGAATGACCTTTCGCCATCATTCCGGCAACATCATTATTTCATCTGCAGCAAAACTAAATCAAATGCGATTTTATAGCCTCGCCATTTTCAAAAGTTTTACCATTTAATGAGCTCTGCAAAGATCGAAACAAATGGTAGTCTAACGGTGCAAGGGCAGGGCTATATAGTGGATGCAACAACCGCCCCCAGCCAAGTTCTCTTAGTTTTTACCGTGTGACTAAAGATACCTCACACATCCTTAGTCGCATTGTCCTGTTGGAATGTGACACATTTAGGAATGACCAATTCTGGCCGCTTTCGTTGACGGATGTATTCCATTTGTTCAGTTATTCACAGCAGACATTCATTTTAATCTATTGGTTCCAGGGAAGCAGCACAAAATATACCACACCCTTGCGATCACATCAAACTGACATAAGCATTACCTACTTTTGATGAATACCAGCCAGCATTTGAAGTGGGTTTGTGACGCTTCATCATGCTTGGACCGTGATCGTTTCCGATTGAGGTTATTGTAAATAAACCATTTTTCATATCTAGTTATGATTTGCTTGAAAAACGGATCATATTCATTGCGTTTAAGATGCATATTATAACAAGCGTTGAAGCGGCTTGTCAAAGTAAATTTCTTTCAATTCATGTGGTACCCAAATATCAAGATCCTTTTACCAGTCCAAGAGGTCGTTTATAATTATGAACGGTTGGTTTCGGTATACCTAACTTCTCTCCAATCTCATGCTCCGTTACATGACGATACGATTCAATTGAAGCCTTGATATCGTCATCATCGGTTTAACTTCGGCGACCTGAACGTGGCTGATCTTTGAGTGAAAAATCTCCCGAACGAAATTTGACAAACCAACTTCAATAATGTGTTACTTTTAAAGCCTTATCACCATACAAACTATGCAAAACTTTTTAGCAAACTGCGCTGCATTTTCTCCTTTGAGAAAATCATAAAGTAAAATATGGCGAAAATGCTCTTTTGTGGGCTCCGTATGCCATGACGCCGTACAAAGAAATATAAACAAAATAAAGCGTACTTTTTTTCTAAAGCAAGCTAAAAGTGACAGCTTAGAACTGTCAGAAGAAAAAAAAAACACAATTAAATAGTCACAAGCTGTTCAAAAAAATTGTCTGTATGAAGAATCGCCGGTTTCTTTAGAGGCAACCCAATATATATTGTACATATACTCGTAAATATGTGTGTGTTTCCCTTTGAAATGCATTCAGCACAAAAGTCACAAAAGTTAATGAAAACATTTAATTACATTAAGTGTGGTTAAGCAGGCGTAACTGGAGTAAATAATGTTTAAAAAAAAAAAAATAAAAAATACTTCAAATTTGCCTAGCAACTGCTGAACAAATGAGATATGCACGTATGTACAAGTACTTCAGGTATATGAAAGTATAAATTTGTAAATAAGTATTTTTAAAAACAAAAAACACATTAACATATATGCAAATATAGTAGACAGATTTTCAATTAGTATGAATGTATTTATATAACATATTTACATGGATAAGTACCATTGTGTATGTATGTATGTTCACATTTACGCAACGAATACTTCATGACATAATCGTAAAAAAAATTGGAAAAAATAGAAAATGTGAAAATAAAGTATTAAACCATACATACATATGTATAATGTTTTGAAAGAGTACATATGTATATTTATTTCTGATTCCAGGTTATATAAAACATACAATTATAGTGTACGAGGTGTGTTCAAAAAATATCGCGAATTTTGTGTTTTTTCAAAAATTATTTATTTATTCATGAATATCTATTTTGTCCCCTTCAAAGTAATCCCCATGAGATATTATACACTTGCGCCAACGGGTTTTCCAATCTTCGAAGCACTTCAAAAAATAATTTTTTTTTATCTTGTTCAGCTTCTCCTTCGATGCCGTCTTTATCTCGTCAATCGTAGCGTAACGTCGTCTTTTTATGGGCCTCTTCAGTTTAGGGAACAAGAAAAAGTCACAGCGGGCCAGATCTGGAGAATAAGGTGGCAAGAACTCATGAAGTGCTCGGGCGTCCGGCACGCTCTTCGTCGTTTGCATCTTCTCGGCCTTGTGGGAACATTTTGTACCACCGATAAACGTTGCTTCGGTCCAAGATAGCTTCTCCGTATGCCACAGTCAACATTCGGAATGCATCCGCGCACTTAATTTCGTTTTTCACACAAAATTTGACACAGGTTCTTTGATCCATTTTTTTTTTGAATAGGTAAAAATCGAAGACCATCCAAAATACGTGCAAGCAAAGCAGCTGTCAACAATTAAGTGAACATTCAAAATGGCCGAGCTTCTCGGCATAAGTGACAGACATGAGTACCAACATAACGCAATAAAAAAATTCAAATTCGATTATACTTAACCCACGAAAATTCAAAATACGCGATACTTTTTGAACACACCTCGTAAAAATGTGCTTATATTTCATATTTTGCACAAAGTTGGTTCGAAAACCTGGTGAACCGATGTGGAGAGTGTGTTGTTGTTGCCCAAAGTATTTTTTTGGGGAATGTTGCGGCAGTGACAGTCCTTGGCCGGATAAAAATCCGGGTCGTTCCGTTACCCAGGCTGTCGCAGGAACTATTGGATTTTAGTCGCCTCTTACGACAGGCATGCCTTACCATATGCCAGTTTAAAGGTAATGTCATTATGTCTCTCTCTCTCTGTCATAGAAATCCTTGTCTATAATAGCACAGAATTAGGAATCTCTGGAGGAAAATTCTTCACCAGGCAGACACAATATTCGCCATAGACAGGCACAGAGATGGTAATCATAATCATTTGGTCCGAGCTACGGACTGTAAGGTAAATGCACACGGAGCTTGTGGCAAGTTACTATCGATGCATTTGTTCTGGACTTATGCTGATGATGAAACACAATTCCCAACTTGATAGTCACAGCTGAGCGCTGTGTGATTGCTTACTTCGGACGGCCCAATCGCTGACAGTACAGTTCCGTGCCAATCCTACCAAACACACAATAAATGAATGAATTGATGAATGAATTCGAGTGTATTTCTGACATGAAATAAAGCTCTTCATAAAAAAAACCATCAGCCGTTCGGAGACGCCTTGGCATAAACTGTAGATCCCTCTATTTGTTGGAAAAACATCAAGTTGCAAAACCACAAATTGGAGGAGGAGCTCGGTCGAAAATCGTTTCAGCCGTTACAAAGCGCTGTTTGCCTGATCACTTCTGTAGCAATTTTCATACGGATCATGAGGCTGTCAACTGTTCAGGCTTAAGGGTACTCCCTGGTAGTCAAGCAGCATCTAGTGCTCTTGAATCTCTTTAAATAGAAAACAGTAGAGAATGACTATAGATCACTTAAAAAATTGGACGGGCATCTACCCCTGAGATATCTTCTCCGCAAAACTATGTAAAATGGCATCGGCTGAGTGCAGAGCATGCACAGAAAATGGCAAAACACTGGAACGCTACCTTTATGGGTATTCGGCCCTCAGCCGATTGAGACGTCATATCTTGCACGGTGTCCTCGTGGAAGGCACACTTAAATACTAAGTGAGGTAGTCACACATAGTTGGAAGAAATTAAAAGAGTTTATTAAATCAGTGAAATGTTCGCAAAAGTATACTTGGATTAAGCGGGGGGAGCCTACGCCACGACATTGTTTTTTTTTTGTGCAAACCCAAAATAATTTCAAATGAAATACAAAGTACGAATGTACGCATAGAATAAAAAATAAAAAAATAAATAAAATAAAAGCAGTTGTTGGAGAAAAAGTCAAAAGGGCAAATAGATGTGGCCACTCGTGCTAATGTACGCATTCAAATACATACATACTGTAGTTAATGGCATAAAATATATTTGTTTAGCCAACCCGCTGTTGGTTTTTTGCCATTTAGGGGTAAAGGACAGGATTCCTGCTAGGTGAAAATCTTAAAAACCTGCTCACACATGTAATTTAAGCGAAATAGATCGGTCTAGTAAAAAGTAATACATTATTTTTGCAATAGTTGGCTTTAGTGCTCTGTAGTTGTAGTTCTATAAGTGCAATTGGATTACGTTAGATGACGTTAGAAAGATGATAAAAAAAGTGTAACACTCTTAACACATAGAACTTCTCGCCTTTATCTGCAAAAAGAAAACTGAACCAAATGCGATTTTGTAGCCGCGCCATCTTCGAAAGTTTTACCATTTAATGAGTTTTGCAAAGATCGAAACAAATGGCAATCTAACGGTGCAAGGTTAGGGCTATATTGTGGACGCATCAACTGTTCCCAGCCAAGCTCTCTCAGTTTTTAGCGAGTGACCAAAGTTGTGTGCGGTCTAGCATTGTCCTGTTGGAATGTGACACCTTTACGATTGACCAATTCTGGCTGCTTCTTGTTGATGGATATATTCAATTTGTCCAGTTGTTCACAGCAGACAGCCGAGTTAATCGTTTGACGCCTTGGAAGCAGCTCAAAATATACCACAAACTTCCGATATCACCAAATTTCCATCTACGAATCGCTATTGAATCGTAACAAAATCAACCGATTTATGAAGCGCAGATCGGACGGCAGTCCGCCGGCAGAAGCGGTCTCAAAGTCAGAATTGACGAAAGTTCTGTTGTATATTTGGTGAGATTGCCAAGGTATTATCTTAACTCTTAATTCGGACCTGTATTGTTAGCAATTGGACCGTTGAAGGAAGCAATCGCCTCGAAGTCTCTTGACTCGCCAGAAGTTTTTATGCTTGCACCTTACAGATCGCAATTCATAAGAAGTGTTTACCAACTGTTTCTTTTTTGATTTGGCTGGTGAAGAACTGGATACAAAAGAAGCCTGGGAGAATCGATTGTGCCAATAGGGATGAGAGTTTCTATGAGAGGAGCATAATGGCATTACCTTCCAAATGGCAAACATTTATCGAGCGAAACGTTGCTTATTTGACATAAATCTGATAATTCTAACTATAGCAAAACAATTAGCAATATTTTTATATGTTTTTCACTGCAAACTCATGTACATACATATAAATTCGAATGTAATTAAATTTAATTCGGTATGCTTAAAAGGAATTTCACATTACATTAAGCTGCTTGAGAGCTCGACTAGAGACTTTGAAGCATTGTACTATTTTATATTAAAACTTTTTGTTTATTTATGTGATCAATTTAATATTTTATAATAAGATATTCAAAAAATAAAAAGTAAAAAAGCCTAATGGATAAGCTGTTACTTGATCGAATGTGTAGCGCTTTCGGCCACCTACGAACGGCTGAGAGATTTTTATGCGGAGCATTTTATTTCATGTTATAAATACATTCGGAGGTCTTGACATTCCCTACCGGGAAGCGATCGCATTTAGAAAAATCAATTTCTCTACCAAAACTCCAAAGTTCAAAGTAACAAATCGCAAAATTCCAGTACATACACACATACGTCAATAGTGGTCAATGACATCAAATAGTATCAAATGGTATTATTTTTAGCTCTAGCCGGATATGAACATTTGTACGGCATAGAACTGCTAATTACTATGTAAATATTTGTTATGGTGCGGCGCTATACATTGTACATACACATATGTACATAAATATACGTGTAAGTATGCTTGCTCTTCGCTTCGTCACCCACTCACCTGCAAATGTGTATCACGATGCCCAGTTTTGCCATATGCGGAATTTTTGGTTAAATAACGACGTATATTTCGTAAAATTTCAGCCTCTTGATCTTGTTCATCGGGTGTGATATCTTTTGGTTCAAAATAAACTAGTTTCGTGAGTGTACCGCCGATGTCCATACCGAACCAGGGCATGGCTGTAAAGAGAACAAATTTTTTTTATATATTATTTTTATGTTTAATTAATTAATTAATTAATTATTTGATGTATCAAATTATGATTATGAAGTATTTTTGGGTTGAAATATATATATATATATATATATATATATATATTATATATATATATTTTTTTTAATTTGCCGAATTGATTTAATGTGAGAATCAGTAAAAAAAACACACTCAAAAATCAATATGAATTCGCAATTTTCTTGGACTCCGTACAAGGTGTGTTAAAAGCCGAGAATTTTTGAATTTCATGGGTCTGAAGTGTCCGATATTAACACATTTTTTTGTTATGCGGATGGTGACTGGCGACGAAAAATGGATCACATACGACGATATCAAGCGAAAACGGTCGTGGTCGAAGGCCGGTGAATTGTCCCAAGCAGTGGCGGCCAGGAAGGTTTTGCTGTTCGTTTGGTGGGATTGGAAGGGAATCATCCACTATGAGCTGCTCCCATATGGCCAGACGCCTAATTCTACCATCTACTGCGAACAACAGGAAGGGCGAATTGGCCAACAGGAAGGGTGTAGTGTTCCACCAGGACAACGCCAGACCACACACTTCGTTGATGACTCGTCAGAAGCTACGGGAGCTCGGATGGGAGGTTTTATCGCATCCACCATATAGGCCGGACGTAGCGCCAAGTGATTAGCACCTGTTTCTGTCCATGGCGAATGCCCTTGGTTTTGTGAAGTTGAACTCAAAAGAGGCTTGTGAAAAGTGGCTGTCCGAATTCTTCGCAAACAAGGAGGGGGGCTTCTACGAGGAAGGTATTATGAAGTTGCCGTCTAGATGGAAACAGATCATCGAACAAAACGGCGCATATTTTAACTAAATCCGATCACTGTAACACTTTTCATAGAGCATTGAATGAAGAGCAAAAAAGCGGAAGGGAGATATTTGACAACCTTATATATATATATCTGTAAGCACTTTTTCGCAATAAAGCTTTTAATTTTGGAAAAAAAACGGCGGAAGCAAAGTTGTACACCTGATATATGGTTCGACTTGTTTAAAATTTGGTACAAAGGTAAGTTTTTAATTAGGTTAGCAGTAAATTTTTACTGTATTAAATAATAATCGTTGATATTATCCAAAATACAACAACCGCTTTTAAGTTCGCTGAATAAGGGTGATTAGACGCAGTTGTTATCGAGAGTGCACAGTGAAATATGAAAAAATTGAAAATCCTACCATTACGAAGACGAGCCAAGAACGCCATAACTTATCCAAAAAAGTGTCCCCGACAATGCTAGACTTAAAAAGAAAGAACTTCGCAGAAATGGCAGATAGGAGTATCCAATAAATGGTCTGACTAAGAGCTGCGCTAGACGGTTGCCGAGAATGCTCACTCCCCTCCGCGGCAAAAATAATAGCGCTGTGAGCGTTCATAGTCAAATTGTTTTCGAAGACCAAACTTAGGTTCATCATTAAGAAACTGAGTCGAAATATGACTCAATGAAGTGGCATTAAAAGAGCACATGCGCCCCCCCATGAAGTTTAAGTCTGCTGGAAAACTTTTCATTGTAACGGTTTTTTGGGACTCAAGAGGAATATTACTAATCGATTATAAAGGAAAAGGTGTTTCTATAACTGGAGAATACTACGCTTCAATATTGAAGCGAATAAAAGAAAGCATTAAAAGGAAAAGATGAGGGAAATTGACGAAGGGTGTTGTGCTGCTTTAGTTAGACAATTCACCCATTTAAAAGCGGTATGTTGCTGTAGCTGCCCTGAATAAGGTGCGTTACGATATTTTCAATCACCCACCAGCCTGCAGCCCAGAACTGGCATCAAGTAATTATTAACTGTTGCCAAAAAAAAAAAAAAAAAATAAATAAAAAAAAAACTGCTGAGTATGAAGTCACGTAGTGGTAGTTTTGACGGTTTTTTGCAGAGAAAAAGTAAGTATTTTTATATGAGGGTATAAATAAATTAATTGAAATATATGAATACTGTATCCGTCGGTAGAAGCAAATAATTTCGTTATTTTATTTCCATATCTTATTTCATATTCTGCGAACATAAAAACGCTTCTTCGTAAATACAATCGCGATTTTCTGCCGAGCTCCTTACCCATTCTTTGTTTTTTATGTTTTTCCAAGAAATGAAGGGACCTACAGTATATACTAAGCCGCCTCCGAACGGCAGATGGTTTTTTATCAGGTGCTTTATTTCATGTCAGAAATACACTCGGAGGGGTAATTAAAAAATTTTACTTAATTTATTTTTTAAATTTATTTTTATAATTTTTTGGATGTTAGTACAACACCAGGATTTGAACCCGAGTCTTCCGAATGACAGTACGCAATGCTAACCACTCGGCTATCGCGGCCGCCAGATATATAATATATACATATTCGGAGGGGTTGACATTACCTGCCGCAGGGTGAAGTTTGATTTTTCTTCTTCTTCTTCAATGATTTTTTATTTAAATATAGATTTTTGAATTTACTTTGAAAATTAAGTAAATTCAAAAATCTATATTCAAACAAAAAATCATTGAAGAAGAAGAAGAAAAATCAGCGAAGATGATAAAAAAAATAATCGAAAAAGAAGAAGACGAAAACACCATCTTCATGAAAGATCTAAAGACTTTGGCATGACCGAGGAACGAACTTTTTTTTATTTTATTTTTTATTTATTTTTATTTTGATTCTTCATGAAAGATATAAAGACTTTTAGCATGACCGAAGAACGCACTTTTTTATTTTATTTTTTTCATTTATTTTTTATTTATTTTAATTTAATTTTTTCACAATCCAGTAAATCCCCATGATGCATATTTAGCACGCCGGGCTTCCCTACTGTTATAAATTTTAATAAAGATAAGAAAGGAAAGAGCAACACTAACACCAATCACCTGTGCGTAAAAGCTCCAAAGCTGCTTCTAAATGCATTTTCATTTGTTTTTGTTTTATTTTCTTTACTATTTAAATAATTAAATATATTCTATTTATTGCGTCGCTTTAACTTCTAACACTTAACAGAACAAAAGTGATTGTTTAACACATAAGGAAATACCGTAAATCACTTCCTTCGTAACACAAACACTAACAAATATGCCGAGGGGCTGAGCGCGAAAATATTGATTTGATTTATCAATTGTTAGATGATTAAAAAAATTAAAAAAAAAAAACGTGCGCTTGTAAAAGTGTAGACGGAAAATTAGCGGATTTATATATGTATGTATGTGTATATGAATCTTTTTTGTATTTATTTTTATTATTAAATAATAAATTTAATATTTGTGCAATTCACTGAGACGCGATAAGGAGACGTTCCAATATTGGCGTTACATTTAGAGGTTAAACGTATGTATGTATGTGAACGTCTATTGCAATAAATTTTTTGCATTAATATATTTAAAAATTTATATACATATACATATATGTATATTTATTCATAGAAAAAGGTAGAAAAAATGAATTTATATTTCATATTATTTATATAAAAACAAAAAAAAAAACACAAAACAATATAGTCACTACACGTGTGGCCAACGCCACAACTTTTTAGTACGCGTTCCGGCGACAACTGACGACTAAACGTATTTACTGTCCGGCCGAAACGTTATACTTGTTGCTCAGAGAGATAGATGCATGCTCCCACTCGTACATACATAAATATATATGTATATATGTAAGAACTTTGATAGCCAAACACACCTATGCGATACATTTGTACACTTGTATGTATGTATGTATATATAAATACATACTCGTATACTCTATGGTTATTGCTGCCCCACATAAGGGCAATGGACACTATAGTAAATATCAACTACGATATGAACATATACACATATTAAATATAATACATACATACATACATACATAGTTAATTTAAACATATTTTCTGCTGTTAATAACCAAAACGTTGACAATTAAAGAAATCAAGTAGTAAATTTTGGTTTTGAGTTGAGAAATGATAAAGCACATAATAAAAAGCAAAATATGCAATATTGTTCATATATTTTACATATGTCGGTATTCATACATAAATACCATACATATGTATTATTACACACATATAATTACAAAGATTTCACATTTTGATAAGTGAACATTTCAAAGGTTTCTTATCAAATCAATGATTAAATTAGAGAAACTTCAATATATACATATGTACATATATGTATGTATATAAATGCAATATATATACATACGTAAATTTTTATATGTACTATATAAAGCATATAACTAATTTCCCTACTGAGAAAAGTTAAACTATATGTATATATGTATACTTCTGCAGCCATAACCATCTCTACAGGCGGCTCGAAGCTTGATGGAAAAGTGGGTTGCGGAATTTACTCTCCGATAAATAATTGGCACTTTGTAACCTTCAAATTGTGGTATTGCGTCTTGATGTTTTTTTCAACAAATGGAGGGACCTCTGGATCTGTTCTCTATTAACATAACAAAAGGTCACTGTTTAATGGGGCTTCACGGGGAAAAGAATGGGATATCACTCTGGGGAGTCTATCGACCACTTTCACTATCCGCCGCACCTTGCTTTAACCTTAGTTATGCCAAGATGATGTTTTAGTCGAGCAGAATAAGTTCTACACTCGTAGAGCTTGACGTTTTTAAATAATTTTCTATAATTTCTAAATATTACTATTATCTCTCACTGCAGGGTTGTGAGTAAGGGAGCATATCGGTTAAATACCAATCGAGCACTGAGAAATACCCAGTTAATCTTTTGTTTCATATCAATCTTGTTGAGAGTGCTCCACCATTTTCAGATAACAAATTTACAGTTTGTGACGTTGAACTCTCTAGCTGTGAATTACTTTGTTTTCAATAGTTAAAAATATTATTTTATATATTATAGTTATTAATTTATACTAGGTACTAGGTGTACTCGAGCAAATTGGTAAATAAAATAGTAAATTTATAATTTTTGTAAAAAAAAGTCAAAATTATAATATCAATAAATAAATTTGTAAAACTTCCATACAGTCAG